AAGACCTTAAGAAGTTTGGAGGTTTCGACGACGGCTCCGGTGGCGTCTGCGAACTTCGGGTTGTTGCCCAGCTTTGTTGAGGACATGTTGGATGGCCAGTTCATTCCCTTAGTCCATGGTGGAGCAAACAACGCGCCCTTTTTCCATCAATCCCTCCAGGTTGTGTGGTCCTGTTGGGGAAAGGTCACCACAAATGTCGGCCAGGCGCCCCCTTGGGCCCCTTGGGCCCCTTGGGCCCCTTGGGCTTGACCATTCTCTGTGATGTCCCAAGGGCGGCCGCATGGCATGTCCATGATGGCTGGGTCGGTCAAAACACCGTCGCACCATGCCCCCCCCCACGACGACATCGAGGACCAGGGCTGTAGAGGAAAATGCTCTTCTATTGGGGCTAGGCCATCCACTTCCAGTTTGTGAGTCAGAGTGTAAATGGGTTTCCAGAGCAAGACTGCAAGTGCGGAGCACAGTCAATTCTACTGGGATGGGAACTATGATTTGTCCACTGTTGTTACACGAACAAATGATTTCTTTTAACATGGAAAGGAAGACCATGAAATCCTCTACAAACAGGGGTGAACTCTACTTCCATGCTAGTTCAGGGAGTGTATATACCCGCTGCCAGAAAGAAAGACGTTGTTTGGTTGAAGCCCAGCCTTGGCTAATTTTTCTCTCAGGTTGAAAACAGCGCAAGCCACGCTTTTGCTTGCCACTCCGCTTCTTTTCATTTATTTGTGCAGCGAAAGCTACTATGACTGCAGTCCTCCCTTGTGGCAAACGACCTCTGCAAATCTCCAAGCAGAGCCTTTGGCAGACTTTTGTGTCATAGCCTGTTGGTGCGCAATGCTTGTGCTGTTTCGCACAATCATTGCCAGCATGCCAGCCAGCCGGAGGGTCCAGAGCGAGAGATATGGGAGCATGGGTGGATTTACCTGGGCCTATCTCTTTTTGCGAGCTCGGAGATTTCTGGTGTGGCTGCTCTGGTTTGGTGTTGTAACGGTTTTCTCTTTGCCATCGGTGTTGTATGCGTTTGCCAACTCCTTGCCCGCGCACAACACGTCTGGCATCAATGATGCGATGCTGAATTTCATCCACAGAACTGCGCCTGTCCTCACGGTGTTGATCGACATGGTCCTGGTCGTGAGAATATCAACCAAGTACTCAAGGCTAACCGGAATCAAGGCAGATCGATTGGTGATGACGTTTCGCTTGTTTGCCGCTTGGCTGCTGCCGCTGCTCATCACCGTCATCTTGGATGAGAACTGCATTTCTGGATGGAAGTGGACGTGGACGGTTTGCCAAGCAGAATCTGCACAACACCGGATTTTTGATTGGACCATCTACAATGAAGAGATCCTGAACACGCAACGCGATATTTGCAATCTGAGCGAGACTTGGTGGTCGGACGGCCGCTGCAGCCGTGCCATCGTGGGGAATTTGACGCCTTTCTTGCTCAAGAAGCTGCTCACGCGAAGCTTTCTGCAGCCGCTCATCTTGCTGTCGCTCTGGCGCCTTTCGCGCCTGGAAGATCGACGCGACGGCTCCAAAGGACGTCATCTTCGATTTCTTGGAGGTCCCAAAGGCCATCCTCTACAACTCCTCGGTGTGGGTCGTCGCACGAGCGGATCGCTGGTGCCCTTGCAGCAAATGCCCTTCCTGACGACCCTGATGGAATTGCTGATGTTTTGGACGCCCTTTGTGCCATTGCTGAGCCTGGGCGTCCTCAGTGCCAGCACCGTGAACATGCTCATCTTCGACCTGGGCGTGTGGCATTTCAGGGTGCAACTTCCAGACGACGAGGTGAACCGCGCTGCCGGGCTGTCCGGATCATATTTGAGCTTTGCACAGATTGCTGGGAGCAGCCTCCAGCTGTGGCATGCCTTCAGCAGCAACATGCATGGGAGGTACATGCTGCTGACCTTCAATGTTCTGGTCATAAACCCATGGGCGAAATGCTTTTTGCCTCTCGAGCGGGCGAGGAAGCTGTTTTGGGAGCCCCTGAGCCGAGTGCAGGAGATGGTCATTGAGATTCCTCAAGCTGGTGAAGCTCAGGTGCCGGGAGAAGCGGAAAGCATACTTATGAAGAACATGGAAAAAACAGAACATCTGGACATTGTTTTCAGACCAGTTCTTGAGTTTCATCTTTTTGGTCCTTTGTCTAGCGGTTTCCATGTTTCTTTACATAATGTTACACACTTTAACTTTAATCATTGCAGGTAGCCGGTTCCTGTCATGGCCACGGTGATGTGATGTCAATGTCTTGTTCGGGAAATCCCATCATGGAAACTGGGACTGAAAACAGTGTCTGTGGGTCAAGACACTGCAAAACAACTTCTTGGTCAGTATTTTGTTACTTCACTCTGTACTCTTTGTACACTCGGACTGAACAGGTTTTCTGTCAAACCATCCGGCTCCTCGCCCAGCCTGTCAGTGCCACCGTGCGTATCTACGCTCCACCGGACTGGAGCTACGCAGCTACGCAGCGAATCGAGGGGGTCCAGGACCCTGCGAAAAGCAGGGTCCTAACCATCCATAAGAGGTCCAATGTGTAGCGTCCTTGCTCCTGGTAGTAAGGCCAGGAGCCCCGAACGTAGCGTCCCTCCATAAGAGGTCCAATGTTGCTTGGGGTGGGGACTGAGGGCAGCAGTTTTCACCTGTGACTCCCTTGACCGGTGCAGCATCCGACCACATCTTCCACCATTGTTGGGGGGGGAGTAATAAGCACCTGGAACCCATGTCACCCTTGTTTTGATAAACACATACGCCATATTTTGGGGTGGTCCAAAATAGAGGTCATTGCGGTGATTTCAAGACTGGGTATCCAACATCCATCCATTTCAGAGGTCTCTCCCGGCGCACCGGATTCTCCGCCGGATGGGGGCCTATTCAGGTCCAAAGCGAACTTTGAGATGGTCTCAGACATTGCTCGAAGCGGATTCTTCTGGGTGTTCTGCCAGGCTACTCCTACTGGACCGCGTCTGTTCAATGAACGAAAAGGAACGAGGGTCGCCGACCGCGGCCGTGGAACGGGTTGGCCCGACGGTCCGCGGTCGTGCAGCAGGTCGCGTCGGAAGCCAGAGCTCCAGGGGTCCCAGGGGGTTGGCGCCCGCGCCATCGGTGTGCAGTTCTGCGTCTCGGCAGTGCCTTCGGCGCTCCACCGGTGCCCCCGAAAGCTGATCCGGTCCGAAAGGCACCGAAGTGGGGTCTCGTCCGACCCCCCCCAGCTTCGATGTGGAGCACCGGAAGTGGAAGTGGTTGAGTCACCCTAAACCCGAAACCCCTGGTTGGGTGGAGGGAAAATCGTCCCCATCGGACCCATTACGTCAGGGTCTATGATAGCTTTCGGGAGTGTAGTCATCAATTGAACTGCTGAAGCTGGGACCAGATCCATCGAGCCTTCGTCGCCCTCGTCCGCAGCGAGCGCAGCGAAGAGCTGCGAAGAGCTGCGATGTCGGTACTGATTCAATCGAGTGACCGGCGACCGTTCAGGCTCACCAAGAGACCTGGAGGTGCAGGTTCTTCCTTTTAGGGGTGTGTTTCTTCACCCGGCTGACAGGGTTCGGAACCCCCTTCGGACCCCCTCCTCGTTCTCCGGACACGGTTCAACCGTCAAACCTCATGCGAACCACACTGGGTCTCACCCCCAAGCACCGGAAAAGCATTGGATCGGAGGCCGCGGAAGATCCCGTGCGCGACGCTGGGACCGTGCGCGCGGCCAAAATCCGAGTGCGGAGCCAACAGAGGTGGGTCAGGACCCGAACTAGGCTATCCCAGTTCGGTACCCTAGGTTACGGGTCCTATTTACGGTCACTGTCCACCTCTCTTGGAGGTGGTACTGGTTTCCGATGGGGGCCACCCTTCGGCTTCACGATTCCGGGGGAACCAAGTGCTGGGAGAGTCATTGTTCCTTGTGAGACGAAGGCAATTTTGGGCGGAGGAGTTCCTGACAACTGCCCCAGCCACAGCAGGTACTGTAGATTTTCACTTTCGATGGTTGCTCGACTACAGAGCTGAACACTGCTCAGCTCTGTTCGACAAGAAGATCGAGTCTGTCGCATGTCATCCAGCACCACGGAAAGAGTGTCCATTAATAGCCCCTTAGAGGTCAAGGGGTGTCCATCAACCACCCCTTGGGGGTCCAGGATGAAGATCGTCAGTGCTTTTTCCCAGTTTTTCCCCTCTCTAAGTGACTGGGCCGACACCGCACCGCACCGCACCATCCACGCGACGACTGGGGACTGTCGATGGACTCCACCCCGGCACCATGGTCCAGTCTCGTTCACCACGCCCCATCGCCACGAGTTTTCGTGAACGCCTAGCAAAGTGGTCACGTCAGACGGTGACGGGAAGTGGGTGACCGGTCCACCCGCGCTGGGGTCGTTCAAAGTTAGGGAAGACCTGGCGTGAAGAGGTGACCCCTGAGAATTGACCGATGGTTTCGACCATTTCACCCTGGAACTTTCATGTTGACTTGACTCATTTTACTCCACCTGGTAGTCATACCATGAGGGTAAAATGAGTCATGACTGGACTTTTAGGGTTCGCTTTCCCATTGTTCCAAAGGTTTGTGACTTCTGCGTGCTTTTCCACACATTTTTTCGTGGTGTTTTGACCGGAGCAATCAATCCGATTTGGGTCCCATTCCAGAGCCCTTCATGACTTCCAGCAGGAATTGAGTCACCTTGGGCGGTCGCAGTGTGCTCCAGCTATTCAAAACGGTGGCAATGTAAGCTTTTTTCGTGTGGTCACCGACAAATGGCTCACCGTTCCTATAGGGAAAACTTAGAGCGGCTCAGCATTCGCATCTCTTCGCTGCCGACGGTCGGATTGCATGTGTTCCCATCGTTTCTCGGGCTCAAGCCCCGAGCGCGTTCCAGAGGGGGGCATGTCTGATGAACGCGCAGAATTCGCGGCATGCCCAGCTCAAAACTCTGATCAGACATATCACAGGTTCGGCACGTTGTGACTCGCAAGGGGGCTGGAATTTGGACAATCCCAGGGTCAACTTCAGGCCAGAAGTGGCAGCGGCTTCAGAACAGTGGCTGCGACACCCAGAATGAGAGAATGAGACGACTGCGCTTGGAAGCACCAAAACACCCACTGAGGTGGCAAGATTGTAAAGATTCTTGATAGATGACCACCGAAGAGTCCCGAATCGAAGAATTGAAGTGCATCTCAACCCCCCGATAAGCTCAACCTCACCGGTGTCGCACCCAACCGACCACACCGGGGTTGACACCACCGCGTTGTTCGCGCGCGCCATGCTCCTGGAGACGGCTTCTCGGAACCGACCGGGTGGGGTTCCGCGCGAGCCGCGAGACGCCGGTGGTCGGTCGAAGGGGGGCGACGTGTCCCGGTCGAAGGCGAAATGGACGAGTTGCTTTGGGTGAGTAGCGATGAGAGAAGGCGATAAGAGAAGGCGATGGGTCTGGGCAATGGGCGACCAGCCTTGCCACATCCATTCCAGATTGAGGAAGGTTGACTCTTGATGATACAAGCCGCCAGTAGTGAAGGGGTTTTACCATTTATGCCTGGGGGATCCTCAAAAACCTTTATGCTTTTCTAAGAGTCCATTTGGTGGGCCTCTTTTCTTTTTATTTCTTGTGGTGTCTTCGAGTCCAGGGGCGGTATGGAGTCCTCAGGCAGGTCTCGGACCCAAAGAACCGAGACGGCGTGTTCTCGCTGCTGCGCGGCTTTGACCTGCGCCGCCGCTGCCGGAGGTTTCCGAAAACGGAGCAAAACGAGCAAACCAGACGACCTGAGGTCCGATGACATGTTTGGAGGATTGGGCGGAAAGAAGGAGGAGAAGAAGGAGGAGGACGACCAGAACGAGGAGGTCGGAACGTGTTGGACCGTCGACCGCGCGTTCCCGCCGTTCCTCGATGGCGGGAGACGTCCCAGAGATGCAGTCTCGGTGTGCCGATTCTGATTAGAAAGGTTTAAGTCTCCTCACCTTTTCCAGGTTTCTGGTGCCAAGTGGCTCAGAGTCAGCTGCAAAGATGAAGACCCCGGGGGCTTGGATGATCTATATTTGCCAGGAGGAGTCATCGGCTGTCACACATGACCTGTATCGGCTCAGCTCGGGCACTTTTACACGGCCCAGCATCTTCCCTTACAATCGAACCAATTCTTCTTCCCAGACGCGACCTCCGTTCAAACCAGCTCTTTCCAGGTCCCTTCACCAAACCCTATAGGGATTGGGTGAGAAGGTCCGGACCCCTCCAGACACTTTCGGGTACGACCCCCGGTCCCTGAACGCAGGGTCAAACGGGTCGCACGCCATGGCTGGCCTGGCCTCCAAGCGTTCGTAGCGGGGAGGCCATCCAAGCTAATAGAGAGAACACCTCTAACCATGGCCTCCATGCTTATTTTACTGACTGGTGGAGACCATGGCCTCCTTGGTTCCCTTGGTTCCTTTCAACGCTGGAAAAGTCTTGTCTTCAACACCTCCCACATGAGCGGATGGACCAATTGGGGGATCGCCAGCTTCGATGCAACCGAAGGGAACAACTGAAAGACCGGCAGAATGGGTTGACAGGAGAAGCCTGAAGATGCGGCAGAAGGTGGTGGTGATGATGATGGAGGAGGAGGCATCTGAAGTCTTCGCTGAATGGTGGGGGAGCTGTTGGCGCAAATCCGCTGAAGAGAATAGGCGCCGAACAATTCCAGGTAGGCTGAAGAAGGGTTCCCACAACATGTAGACCCAGCAAATGATGATTTCCAGCATGTTTTCGACAGAAGAGGTCCCTTCTCTATTTATTTGGCAATCCCTCTCTTGTGTTTGGGAATTCGCGGCTTGACATCGACGGCTATCAGAACCCCCCGGACTTCCACTTCGTTTGTTGAATCAAGCAGAACCCCCGGACTTCCACAGAGCTCCTACACTCTTTCGAGCCAAAAGACGTGCGAAAGAACTCTCCCATGGCCATGTGGCACCAAACTCGCAGATGTAGAAGTGTTCCCATCATCAGAGGAACATAAACCCTCTAGCCTTATTTCATCCGATCATCAGAGGAACCTCGTCGTCGATGGACAGTTCTTTTTCTCCTGCAGGAACAGCCGGCTTAGACATGGTCAGGATACAGAATTCGTGAAGAGAAACTCGAACGAATGGGATCCACAAAGCCAGAAATATGATGCAGGAGTTGGTTTGCCTCAACAGTATGATGTCTTCTAGGACCGGAATCCTCGGATTCCTTGGATAACCCGCCTCCGCCCAAAAGCAAGCCCCAAAAGCCAGGAGATGACGAAGGAGATGAGGAGGTTCTGCAGGTTGCGAAGACTCGAAAGATTAACAAAGAGCAGTTCAAGAAGGCCTGGATCTCTGCTCTGGTGCGATCAGTGCGAGATCGGTTGCAGTCGTGCGCAGTGCTTGAAAAACATCGATGTTTCTTGGGTGGGGAGGGGAAAGTCGGGAAAATGATCAGCAGCGTAGCTTACAAGACCGAAGTAAATCGGAAACGAAGTTAGAAGCAAATCGGAAACGAAGTGCGGAACGTACTGCCCATCGATTTTTGGCCGCCGGTCCAGGGTCGCGTCGGTGACGAGATTCGATGTTTGGTAAATCGATGTTGTGAGATCAGCAGATTCGATGTTGTGAGATATCGATGTTTTGTATGGTACTTGCAATGTTTTGTCAGGATGTTGTGAGTCAGGATGTTGTTTTGTAAATCGATGTTTTGTAATTCGATGTTGTGAGGATCACCCAAAAGCTGTGCCTGTCAAGTCCTTCAGACGGCCGAGTTCGGGCGGATGGACGTGAACGAAGAACGAGAGGGTAAACCTCCTTGGCCGGAGAGGATGCCAATGGATCCTGACTCTGAACCATGGAATCAATTCATGACATCTGGAATTGTCCATGAAGCTGCATGAAGCTGCATCTGAAGAAGTGCTATCCAATCAATCGACTTCCCGAAGTCATCTGACACTAGTCTAGGTGTAGTCTTAGGGTAGAGTTGCGGTCGGGCCTCCCATTGCACAAGGAATCTCCTTCCTATCTCACTCTGGCTTCCTTCCCAGACGCTCCAAACAGCTCTTGGTCCCTCAAAACCTGGGGATTTGAGACCCCAGACCCCTCCAGAGGATTCGGGTCCGACCCCTCCAGAGGATTCGGGTCCAGGGTTGCGTCTGGGTTGTTGGGATACACGCCTTCCTTCGACTCGACTCATCGGCTCCCCAACATCGCCGGTACGACCAGACATCGTACATTCATCGTACGACCAGAATCTTCGCAAACTGACCCGAAACCGAATTTTCTTCATCTTGAACCAGACATGCAAGAATCTTCTCAAGAGAATACACCAATACACCAATACACCAGTCCATCCTGGAGAGCTACTTCTCATTTTCACTCATGTCCAGGATCGGTCCTCTTCGTCCCTTCACACGCCCTGTCTTCAGCCCTGCGGACCACGTGCGTCAGCGGACGTCGCGAGAACCTCGGCACCCTCGGGCACCTCGACCGAAGTCCCTCGGCCGAAGCCCGGAGGACCCGAACCCCCCCGGCCACAGGAAGTCTCCGATCGCACCACTCCGCCCTCAAGGGGCGACACGGAGCAGGCGGGTCCGCCCGGAGGACCCGGCTCCACCCGGCCGGGTCCTTCCGGTTGGATCGCTCGGTGTGGCGGTGCTGATCCAGTGGAGTACTTGGAGAAGTCGGCGGGTTTGGGGGGTGACCCGGGTGCTGTGTTGGGTGTGGCCGGCGTGAGAAAAGGTGATCCAAGTGGAGACCTCATAGCAAGCTCTTGGCTCTAGCACATGGGTGTGAACTTTGGACTTAAGTTCATTTTGGATTTCTCGGTCTCTACATGAGCCGTGGGAAGAGGGGTAAACACCAACATTGACACATGGACGAAAAAAGGACATATGACACAGGCGATGGGTTCGAGTTCCATCTCCAAAATACATGGGTTTGCTTCCGAATAGACATGGTCCAAACGAATTGGTTCAAGGGAACATCTACAGCACACCTGTAGTTTGGCGGGTGAACACATATGAACACCATGTTTCCGGAGGAAATCCTCCAGATGCTCCTTGTCACGAATCCCGTCCAGTCGCCTGAATTTTTCAAGTGGTCGGACTTCCAGCACCCTCCAACAGGTCACCAATTGAAACCTGTTAGAGCCTAACAACTCTCCAAAGGAGACGTGTTGGAGGGTCCAGGTTGGTGACCTGAGTTCAGGAATACTTTGGTGCCGAATATCGTCGACCTGGACTTCTGCAGGGTCATGGGTCAGGGGTCAGATCCGGACTGGATTCCTGGCCCAGCATTGATTTCAGAGTTCGAATCTGACTTCGCCTCTGTTCGCAGCCCGAGATGCCGATTCAACCAAGCTTGGAGATGCCGATTCGCCCTCCCAAAGCATGTCCTTCCGGATCCAATCCGTCCTTCACGTTCGGTCCGACGAGACCAGACGCCGAAGCCGTTCCCGCAGGAGCGCGATCACTGGTCTCGCCCAAGGCGATGGCAAGTGAGACTCTGGCAGGTGAGGAGGGTGGGGAGGATGGGGAGGATGAGGTGGTGAGGTGGCTCCTTTTTTGCGTTTCGTCTATACCAGGAGGCTTTCTGGGAACCTGTTGTCACCAGGAAGCACCTGTAGAGTCGGGTGCTGGTAAAGCGATTCGGATCTGGTGAATCTGGTGGAGTTGAGAGTCTTCAAGGTGGTCGATTTCCCCATGCTGTGCTCAGTCGGGTTTTCTTGGGATTTATATAGATCCCTCTATCAGCAGCTATATCTCACACTTCCTGGTGGTGTGGCCAGGTTCGAGTCGAGAACATGACCGATGAGGCCATCCTGGTCTTTGGGAACTTCATCTTCGGGGGCACGAAGGTGCGCTCGCCCATCGACGGACGCGTCGCTGCACGGTGGGGAACGGAGCGACAAGGAGCGACAAGGATCAATGAAGGTTCCCCAAGCAACCAGGAGCTTCTCAGTGACTCTGGTGTTTGCACTTCCATGTGAGGAAATAGCCTGAGTGTATTTCCTTACAAAGGACTCGATAGGATGGACGAACAAACCGGTCTCCAAATGGACACAGCAAGGGGCACAACTCTGCTACCTGCTACCTGCAAGCACCCTTCTGCAAGCACCCCTTCACCCTTTCGTCTCTTCGCTGTTTCAGCTGGGGTCCGGTCCGGTGCGCCGAAGATGTCGCTGGATGTTTCACAAGGCGCCACAACAGCGAGCTGGACAGCTCGTGCCATTGGGGGTGTATTGCTTTGCTACCCAAAGACCAGAGGCTCAATGACTCAAGGCTCTTCCACCATAAACATCCCCCCAAACCATATACCAGCAGTCACAAAGGGATGCCGAACTTGGAGGATAGGGGTGCTCATTAATCCATTCACATCCATTCACTTAGGGACTAAAAACCATCCCTTTGTGACTGCTGGTATAATTATATACTCTCTTTCCAGGACCTTTTTGAGTGAAGCTTGGAGATTCCAGACTGATCCCGAGGAAAACTGGCCATCCACTTCCATGATTGTTCCAGGGAATGCATCTAAAGATAGCAAACGGATTCGTTTGGCTTTTTGTGGCGCACCCACGCGCACGCTGAACGCGCACCCACGCGCGGAACGCGCGGAACGCTCAAACGTGGCAGGAGGAATTCCTGGTGCGTGCGGGGGGCAAGGAGCCCTCCATTTGGGTGGCGGGTCCGGTTCCTCAGGTCCTTCAATGGTTTTTCCGACAGATCTAGCTGGACCCGACGACCAACAGGTCTCCGATGGCTGGGTTGGGAAAGGCCCGAGCAGGTTTCAATTGGTGACCTGTGAAGTCGGGTGCTAGTTGACATGTCTAGTTGGCATGTCACATACTCCGACGGATCTAGTTGATCATCATTCCACCTCACAATTACCTTGGCATCGCGCAAACCGATGTCGTTTCGTGAACTGGCGCCGAGCGAGTGCCGGGGGGGCTTTCCGATGGGCCGCGGGTGCTCCACCAGCACATCCGAAAGGGATGAGGCGAACTGCTTTCGACATGGAACCTGTTTGTTGTTGCTGGTGGGGGGGACATGCAGAAACCAACGGCGGTTCCAACCTGGGAAGAGAGAACGAAGATAAACAAACCAAGCACACATGCGTCCGGAGCAAGTGGTTTTCCGAGTGGATGGTCTTTCTTCGTCTCGAGAAATGCAAGGCGTTCCGCTTCGTCCGTGGTGGATGGGGAACGACTCGTTCCCAACTGCCTGGGCTTCCCCAGTCCCAACCAGAAACAAACGGTTGTTCCAATATGGCAATTGAAATCCTTTACATAGGAAATGGCTGGGACTGGGGAAACATCCATTTCTTTCTGGTTGGGACTGGGGTTCCCAACTGGGTCGAGTTGCTTTCGGCATGAACACCGCCTGGGACTGGTCTGCCATGCCATCTGCGGATAAGCCCGGCCGAGTGTACATCAGGGACGTGTATGATTTGGAGAGTGAACCCCGAGATGACGTTCCTTAAGTTGATGATGTTCCTTACCATCAGCGGCAATATGGTGGGGAGATCCAAATCAGGGTGCTTCTTTGAACACGACCTTCGGGCCTTCCAAGAACAGTTCAACATCAGAAAAGGATTGAACCATTTGGATGGATTCCCTTTTCAACCAATTTCTGAAGGTGGCCATTTCACTGAAACAGTTCCCCTTTCCCTTTCGTGGCTTTTGTTGCCACGCCACCCCGCCTTCCGGCCGCCACCTCGGCTCGGCCCGTTCCGAGGGGACGAAGGGGTGATCCTGCGAACGCCGGTGGTGCACGACGTGCCAGGTCGACCGGGGTCGGTCCTGTGGGGCGACTGGTGTAGACTTGTGGACTGTTTGGGGATGCTTTGGGGTGATGAGGTGCAGATCTTCGGGGAGGACTTGATATTTTAGACCACTAGATGAAGGCGAACACCCCAAAAGGTGAAGATCTAGGTGAAGGCAAACACTCGAAGCTCCCAAAAGACTTCTCCATGATCAAAATCAATAGATATTCCGATTCCCCTACGCCTTGAGACTGAACTCACGGCGTGAAATCCATCCGTCCTTGCGCCTAAGCGGTCCGGGCCCCCGTCCTCGGGACCAAAGACCGGGGGCCAAAAGGTCCAAGACCCGCAGGCCCAAAAGCGAAGCGCGGCCGCGAACCGCTGGGGTTTCAAGTTCTCAGCTTGACCGGACCCTCTCCTAAGCGAACGACCCAAAGGAACAGATTCCTCTATGTTCGGGGTGCCAACCGAATCAATGATGAGAATGAGGGACTGGTGAGGGAGGTGTTGTCCTTCCTCACATCCAGGTGATGGCGAAGATACCGAGTGTGACTTTGATGTGTCCTTCGAGTGGCCGCTTTGCGGCACGCTGAGCGGCACGGGCCGGCCTGAGAAACCGGGGCCTCTGAAATGAGTTGGTGAAAGGATTTCTTGGCTGTCGCGGAGGGGTCTCATTGTTGAAGTAGATGCGACAAAGCGTCCATTTTTGGGCAGAGATGGAGGTGTTGAGTTGTATCTTTCCGATTGAGTTTGGAAACAGGCGGGTTGAACATCATTGGGTGCGTATCTAAATAGGGAGACCTCATAGCTCGACTCCCTGGAAGAAGGGAAATAGAATGAAATAGACCAACACCCATTGGATAGAGGTCTTCCCACTAAAAACACACACCCATATATCATATACCAGGACCATCCTGTCTGTCTGAGTGTCCTAGCTGGACTACCCCACACTATGACCCGGGAACTCCATTGGACACCCAAACAGGATGGTCCAGGTAGGTTTTGTTTGTCTGTTACTGTGTACGTCCACTGGAGGGGGATCAGTTGGCATCCACAATCGAGTGTGGGGGTGATGGACGAGTGGCAAATTCGTGGGTGGTGAAAGAGAATTAGAACCGTTTCTGTATCTCCCTTTGATATACTCCTAGACCCTTAGCTCCTTTGGTTCAGAAGGAATCTGCTACTAAGCGCCTAGTTTAATTAACGGTTAAACCCACTAGGAGAAGATCTGATCTAAGGACAGGCGTTTGGCACCTGCACATGGGCAGAGAGTGATTTTCGACAGAACTTGTACACGATGCTCGGGGAGAGAATCAGTCTCTCCTTCTCCAACCTGTCCTGCAGTTCGCGAGGGAAGAACTCTGAAGAGGGCTCTTCAGGGCTCTCCCCTGCTCAAAGACCTCAGCGAGGGGTCCGGGGTGTTACTTCAACCGCCCATCTTGAGGGAAGAACCACCTGGGGCCCCAGGGGTCTCCCTTGCCCCAGGGGTCGACGTCTCTCTGACGCGTCTGCACGATTCGACACCCTGATACTGTAGCGAGTAGCCGGCTGGTTCGCTACACCCGGAGTGCTTCCAAGGACGAAGGACACCCGGACACCTTGGACAGCTTGGAGGGTGAACGAAGGACACCTGGGAGGGATCCACCTTGGAGGGTAGGGGGCAGCTCCTCGTCCCAGGCATGGCAGCTATCTCGACCTCGAACGACAGAACTTGAGTCGCTTCCTCGGAACCTGAGTCGCCCGAAGAGAGACCGCAGAGAAGGAACAAACCACCGCGTTGTTGTTGCTGCTGTTGTTGTTGTTGTTGGTGGTGGTGGTGGTGTTGAGGGGGTTTGCCCACGTGCAATGGGACATTCGGGATAACATGGGGTTTTGGGTTTTGCGGCTTTTTTTGGGGGGTGTTGGTCCCAAGATCAGAGTTTCAAAACAAAAGCAATTCTTGTCCAATTCATCTTGCTCAAAACAGTGCTTTCCCTGCTTTCGGTTCTTCATGGGCAGTCGGTCTGTCACGATTGGTGGGGATAGCAGTGCAGGTTGAGCTGCAGACTCCTTCATTTCTCAATATGCTGAGTAGTTGAGAGGGGACCATGTCTTGTTTGCAAATGGCGCCTTGTCAACAGAGGGAGATTCGGGGATACCAAGATGGTTGCGTGGTTGATCAAGATTCAAGATGGTAGATTAATCACAGGGATTTTGTAACCAGTTAACCAGTTTAGAACTGTCGGCGCCGGCATGCGACATGCGGCACTCTAGAACCCTATGGCCCTATGGCAGATGGCTGATCCACCACCATTTTCGCATCCACAGTCATTTTGCAAGCAACAATTGGGTAGTCTTGCAGGATCGTCCGTTGCTGCAGGATCGTCCATCATGTCATGTGATGGATGAATTCGGTGATCCCATCCACCATGTCATGGGCTGGTTCCGTTGGTTCCGGACATCCGCCTCTTCGCCGCGATGCCGTGCCACCTTCAAGTTGAAAGCGATTTCGACCTAAAAAAAAGGTCGATGATATATGCTGGAGACGATCACAGGAGCAGGAGCTTCAGTACGTGACCGTCCTTGACATCCCGTCGTGGCGGCTGAGGTCACAGTCCATCGTCCCGAACAAAGAGGTCACGTAAACAGACTCCAGTCAGAGGTCGCGTACTGAAGGTCCTGGTTCACCTTGCCCGTGTTGGGGTTGAACACTTAGAGCCCGGAGTCTCGACTCCATCGCGACGTTGAGGGCTGGAGATCTGGAACTGGGCTCGCTGGCGGATCAACAAGTTCGATTGCTTCTGCGAGGCGTTCTGCGCTTCCCGACGCGGCAGCGCGGGGAAGCGCGGGACGAGAGATGGGGCGGAGAGATGGGGCGGGTTCCGGCGGAAGCTGCGAGAGATGGGGCAGATCTGCCCACAGGGTTCGTTTGTCTTGGTCTTTTGGCGAACGCGGGCGCGCGGTGCGCAGACGGAGGTGGTGGTGTGGCGGTCTGTTCGTCGTGGGTGACCGGTCACTGGGTCCGTCACTACACCTTCGCCATTGGAGGAGTGCATTGGAGGAGGCACAACACCCCTGAAAGATCCAAAAGGAAATCCCCAGACGCGACGTGCCAGTGAACGGACTGCCGATTCGGACTGGCAGTTCGGCGGCAGTCCGTTGGCAGTTCCGGACTCTTCGTGTCTGGGAATGGTTTTGATGTGAAAGGACCCCCTCCTTGATGGAACTGCCGGCGTGCTGTTGGCTTTCTCCTCTTGGCTTTTCCTTTGCGGTTGTTGGGCGATCTCTTTCGGGGGTAGCTCGGCTTTCTGCTGAAGTCCCAGAGACTTTCGGGTCAGAGACAGGTTGTCAGCTGACATCACCAGACGCGTGTTCAGCCTAGAGCCGTTGGTCATGACAGGAGCCCTTGTTGAGCTTCGCCAAGGGTCCCATTCAAAACGAGATGGAGTGCAACAAGGCGCGCGCGCGCGAGCGCGCGCGCGCACGCGGCTGGAAGATCCGCCGCGGTTCGGCAGGTCGACAGCGGTGTGTGCTGGAGCTTTTGTCCGGATCGACAGAGGTCTCTCATATCCAGGATTGCAAGAACAGCGGTGGCCCTTTTTTTATTGATTCTGATTTTCACTATGTACTGGTTATAGGGACGAAACTCGTCTAAGGAACACAGTACATGAATAAGGTGCATTGTCCACTGACGCCGCGGGGTTGCCTGGGTTGGACCGACCTCTTCGAGGTTGAACCCACAATCACGTTTGGGGGGTTTGGGGCCCCTCAAAACCCGTAGTTTGGGTTTGGGTGCAGATTCTTAGGCCCATAGATACCCCTGAAATCCACCACCCCCGTGGCCTGATCGGCCCCCGGGGAGGCTTCGTTGGAAGGTTCCCTGTTTGCTTCAACGGTGGCCTCGAGAGGCATCTCTCCGGTCGAAGAGGAAGAACATCATCTTCCAATCCCTTCGACTGTACGTTGCTGTGAGAGTATTTTGGATGTTCTCAATGTAGACTTTTGATGAATAAAGCTCCCCATTTGAAGAGGTTTTGCAAGCCAAATGGATCCACATGGGGGTTTTATTTATCAAGAGTCTACAAACTTCACCGTGCATGGCTGAATTTGGACACTTCGATGTTCTTTTCATCTGACCCGCCCTATGGCCGGCCCTTTGTTCGAGCGCTGAGCGCTTCGCCCAGTTGGGCATGGACCGCCAGGTAGACAAGTTCGGAAAGAAGCAGAGCCGTGTGAAGGTCGCCTTCAAGCGTCTCGCCCGGAAGACGCCGGGAAGAACGGGGCTTTAGGGGGGCCAATCGGTCCGGCCGAACGGCGGCCGGCTTCGGACGTCGTCGCCGGTGACCTGAAAGGAGGTCCGGAGGGCGAACAGATGAAGACATACGTCCGGACCCACCGTCGGGACACCCCAAGGGGCCAAAGTATCACCCCTGGCCCGGGTGTCCTGGACCCTCGGCCAAACCAGGGCCGCACGTCACGTTGCCAACGGCGTGAGACGGAGGGACCTCGTTCAGTTCATCGCAGGAAGGCCGCTCGTGGCTGCTAGGCCGTTGTAGGTGGAACTCCGGAGGGAGAGGTGGCTCAGCACGGTCGTCTTTCTTCCAGCATCGGCCGAGCCGAGTGAAAACGGTCCAAAATGGTGGCTCCAGTCGTCCCTGACTGGTGAAAAGGATTCAGGAGTTGCACCCCACAAACACCGGGGCTTTGACCCCACAAATACACTGGTTTTGATTTCAGGGATACCGGGATACCTGGCTTTGACCCGAGGGATACTCTCTGCTGAACCGTCCAGGTTGTTCTTTCAAGAAATCTACGACTTTGAGCTTTCGATGCCGGTCGAGCGCCTCAGAAACGGGGATGTTAAATGGCGAAAGAGGTGGAAACGGAGCCTGGCTGGGCCATGTCGAAAGGGTAGTTCAAAGGGCAATGACCTCCAACCTAAGAGCGATGGGCTCCAGTTTGTGATTGATCCGAACAGCAGCCGACCAGTTTGGGGTGCAACGAGAAAGATTGATTGCCAGGACCTTCAGTACGTGACCTCTTTGGAGTCTCTAAGTGACCTGGTACAGACCTAAGTGACCTCATCCTGGGATATCAAGTTAGGTCACTTTGAAGGTCCTGGTCCCCTGGTGCTTAATGAATTCATGCAGACATAAGTCATGAAGACCAACTCGATCACAAAGCCTGGAGACTCCAACTCAACTCACCTGGAAGTGAACGTACCATATTTTTCCATGTCGACTAAGACGATTTCACTCACCTTGGACTCAAGTTGCGGTGCTTTCCGACCGAACCCGGTCGCCTTTGGTTTTGGACACGGGATGTGCTAAACTGTGCTCCATGTGCAACCCAAAAATCAACGACGTTTCTCAGGACCTTTGAACTGACGCTCCGTCTGCGACGATCGATCTGCGACGATAGCAGCGCGACTTCCCTCGCCCGCCGCCCGTGAAGGATCGCCCGTGTTCCTTCGCGGGGTGACGTGGACGTGGTGGGACCCGGGGAACCCACATGGATCCGCCGTTCGAGTCGTTTGGCATGGCATGGATCGATGGTCCGACCTGCCGGCCGTTTTGAAACTCGGGGGATTTGTCCGGAGCAGGACTGGCGGAGTGCGTTCGGGATTCTTCTTAGACTTGGAAGGGTTTAGGGCCTTTTAGGGGTACCCTTTTTCGGCGCTTGGGCGTCGTAGTTTTTGTTTTTGTGGCCATTCAAACGTCTTTGAGAAGTTTGGAACACATCGCCGGAATCGCTGTTTCTCCTCCCATTTTTCGTCCCCAAACCATGAGACGCCACGTTTGTCGGATCTCGGATCTCGACGGATCCGTGGCGGACGTCCGAGGTCTGGCGTGCTAGCGCCGTGCCCACCTGCAAGCGACTCCTCGAGCGCTTGAGGCGAAGCACTGGGGGATGGGTGAAGGGCGGCGTGTGGTGGGCGCGTGTTTAGACCTGAAAGCTCCATGAACCAGGGTTTCTTCTTTCGAGGTTGGTGGATATAGACTAGACTACTGTATAAATAGACCATCTATATCCAGATCTCAGTCTATTCCCCATTCCATGTACCCAAAGACCTTCTGGATGTCTGGAGAAAACACCGGAAGATGAGGTCTTCCTTTGCCAGCTGATCATGCCACCGACACGGATGGAGTGTTTTTCGATGACCGATCTTCCGAACCGGCACCGGCGGCACCGATCTTCCGATCCAGTCGAGAAGGGCAGTCGGTTTTCTCCATCCCAGGATTAAACATTGGTCCAAAGCAGAGCGTACAGACTGAAGCTGCCCTCGGGTCCAAAGCTGCCCTCACACTCTTAAAACGGGCGATTTCCCGAGTAAGGCAGGGGCTCGGACCCGACCTCTTCGCAGGGGTCACCCGACCTAAGAGCCTTGAAAGCCTTGAAACAACTGGCCCGGATTCTTAGAGAACAAGTCTTTGTTCTCTTCATACGCCACGCCGCCACGCCCAAACATCCGTCCGAGAGATGTTCGCTGTCATGCGCGCCCGTCTTCGCCGCGACATGGCAAGAGGGCTTCGGTTCTCGGAGAGCATCGTTTGGTTGATGATTTTACATGATCCCTGGGAGTCAAAGACTATAAAAAGAATGGTTTTTAGGGTACCTGAAAGGGATTTTCCTTTACTTCACTATCGAAAAGTATAGTCTTTGGACTTCTAGGGTGATTTTACCTTTTTTGTCCGTTTCCTTCCATTGCAACACTCCACAACGCCTTTTCCAATCGTCACCCTGCAGTTGAATCTTCCGGAAGACGGTAGTTGCCGAGTCCGGTTTCGATTCGCCGAACGCGCGGCCTCGCCGGTTTCGCGTTAAGAGGGCTCCGTTGCCCTCTTCGCAGGGACAACATCGAGGAGGAGGACGAAGAACTCACGGGCGCCACTTGGGTCCGGTTCGGAGTGGACTGGGTGCCACGCCGACTGTTTTACCGGTGGTGTTTGGACCGGTGGGTGTGCCTGGTCTCCAGGACCGGTGGCCGTTTTGGTCCGGGCGGTGCCGCCCCAAGACCGACCCGGTGCTCCTTTGTTCATCCCTTGGTCCACCAAAGACCGTCAGGAAGAGGTGCGAAGAAGAAACAGATCGGACGAACAATGATCCACTTGGAGTCACAAAGGAGTGGTTATTAGCCCCATCCAGTGAGTGGAGTAGCTGGGCACCCCGACTACCTCCAATAGGAACCCCTTTGTGACTCCTGGCACTTGGATCCACTTAGATCTGTTTGTGGCCGATACCCACCAGGATCAGTACGTGACCTAACTTGAGATCCCAGTGGCGGGTCGGTCACGAATCGTCCCTGAAGAGGTCACTTACAGACTCCAAAGAGGTCACGTACTGAAGGTCCTGGCACTGGGTCCTTGATATGACCTTCATGTGTTTGTGTTTTTTTTTGTTTCAAAGAGATCTTTTTCCACCACCGAGCCACAACTGTTCTTGGTGCTCCAAACGGTGTCGACACCGTTTTTCCATACCGGTGGGTCAGCACGGCGGATTTTGGGGAGGTCCATCTCTTCTTTTTGCCATCTGACAGGTCATTTTCGGGGTGTCCAGACAAACCACCCCGCACTTAAGGGTGCTGCTCCATGTTTTTCGCCCTACATTTGTTCGACGGGCGACGGTGACGCTCACCCTGTAGCCTCACGGGCTCACTGAAGATAGGCACCATCCCGTCCATCTGGTACCCGTCTGATCAGTCTCTGCGTTTCCAAAAACAAGATACCCTCACCAACACCAACACATCATATAACCCTCCAACAGGTCACCACCTGCGACTAAGCCTGCAGTCTACAAAAGCCAGTTGGAAGGTGTTGGCATGGACGCTTGATGATTTTTCGACCCTCAGTAGTGAAGAGCTTTATTCCTCCACATCCGGGGGGAGTTGTATGATTCTAAGACTCTACATTTGGGTCTTGGTTCGGGCCCCATTCGACCCTGTGCGTTTTGGGTGTTGGACCATCGACACCTGCGATGGAGATTCCAGGGTGGGTTTTTTAGGATGTTTAGGATTCTTTAGGCCTACCAAGACCATTAAAGTAAGAAGGGTTGACCTGGTGGCGTGGTGTGAAAATCCTTAGTATAAGACCATTAAAGGTTCTTTGGGATTCAGACCATTAAAACTAAGAAGTTCTTCGAATCCTCTTTCGGCTTGAAGGGAAAACGTCCCAAGACCTTCCCAGTGACCCAAGCGGCTAAGATCCAACGGAAGGATGGCGGGGTCGGATCATGGCACCCGAAGCTGGGAGGTCTACCCCAGGGTGTCCCCGGTGCCATGGGGCCGGTGCCAGGTCTTTTCAAAGGTGACTTCATGTAGACTCTTGATGAATCAAGCACCCAATTGAAGTGGAACATCCTCTTCATATGCGGGGGGGGTGTATATTAATCTAAGAGTCTACATGACCAATCCTGGTCAGTTTGATCACTGGGAAGCTCCATGGGACAAAGAGTCCCCCTCAGAACTCTTGGCTCAGATCCCCTGCTGTACATTGGTCACAGAGTATATGGCACACACCCCAAGATCTCTTTTAGATGGGGGTTCCATAGAAACAACCACCCCAACTGGGGGATTGCACCCAGCCCATCTACACTCAGCCGACCATAGAAACTCTCAACCACCACCACGACTGGCATTGGACTCAGCCGTCCTGGCACGGAGCCCGGGTCGGTTGCCACCGACTTCCCCGCGTGGCCCCGCGGGGTGAGTTTCCCTGGAGAAGAACTGCCTGGTGGCCTGGTGGCCTCTTCTTGGCCCTGGCGGCCAAGAAGGTCCAGGGATGTCATGTTCAGGAAGTGCCTGAAACTCTGACCAGCGAGGAGGGTTCTACCGGAGCAGGAAGACCGGTGCACAGTGGTCCTGGTGGAGATTGAGACGAGCTAGCGCTAGCTAGACCGTCTCCGACTGGTTTTTGCTCATGGGTAGACCGGCCCCAAACCACCCCAATGAAGGTCAACACCCGAACCTGCGTGGTTCAGCCAGGACACTACCAATTGGTAGGTGCAATCCATGGAGTGTCTGGGTCAAATCGTCCATTCGGGTAGCTGGCGGATGAAGAGACCCGACTGAGGGTGGAGCCCGGGGCACCCTGGGGCGGAGTACTCGGCAGACGGGAGCCAAGCAGACGCAAGCCCTGCCACGAGTGGCCTGGACCGAAGGAAGGTGTGGGGGACCTTGGGACCTTTCTTCCGTTTCACTTGTCTTTGTTTCTGATAGCGATGGCCTCCAACCCAGTAGCGATGGCCTCCAACCTACTAGCGATGGCCTCCAACCTGGGGAAATTGATGGTCCATGGTCCCACTTGTTCGCTGCTAAACAGTGAGAGATCTGAAAGCTTGATGGTACCCGCCTGGTCCATCTTGAATGAACACAAAAGAGTTATTCTTTTCTTTAATCGATGTGCTTTGCTAAAACCCGGCATGTGGATTGGGAGCTAGACTTGAACAACGAGATTCTGTACTAGCACAATCTAGCACATACGTTTGCACAAAGTCTTAGCAAATACGTCGTGCTCATGACCATCTTTACTTTACAGGCTGTTTTCACTGCTCAGAAGTTCTTCCATCAGATCACCAGGGGAGATCTCGGATGTCTTATTTTCATTTTTCCTGGGGACGGGGTCATGCGTGGCCTTCCTGCTTCTGGTGGATGGGGAGTAGACATGGCACCATCCATCGGTAGACCCGGTCGACGACGGACCACACTGCGACCTGAACGACCGCGACCTGAACCCCTCGGGCGAGGTCGGACCATGAAATCCATCCGAAGACCAGTCCCTCCGGGGTGCCATCCCACGACAACGATTTGAGTTTGGGATCCACTGCCACCTTCTCAGGTGGTTGGAGATAGTTACTTGGGCCCTCCAAGCCTACATAAATGGTCTCCAAGCACCTTCTGAGAAGGTACGACTGGATCCCTAAGGGATTCCAACAAGTGTACCATTCGGGTTGCCGCCTGTGACGTCACTCTCGCGATGTCCAGTTCGACCCTCTGGAGATGTCGGGTTTTGATGTCAGACTCAGTAGCTAGGCATTTAATACCTTGCTGCAGTCGTAGAAAAGCTGCGTTGGGCTTGAGCGACCTGTTCTAAAGTTGTTACGTCTTGGACCTTTTGGGAGTCCAAGAACCTCCAGACTCCTCGTAATCCCAGAACCTCCTCGTGGTCCATCGCAGCTTCCGACCGTCGCGTCGTCCACACGACCACCGCCGCGCGGGCTCGTTCTCGGTCTCTCTGGGGATCGGAGGGATGTGGACACATAGGCTTCTCATGCATGGTATGATCGGGGTCCCCCAACGTGTCCCAACACATTCTTCGTCCAAATCTACGAACTTCTATCTATTTGGGGGGGGTCTGAATTACATTCAATAAAGACTCGATAGTATACTAGTCCATCAAGTTGATCGATGCGTTTTAGCCACTACTCTCTCTCTCTCTCTCCAATTCAAGGGCCTTTTTGTTGAACCAAGCACAGATGGAACACGATCAGATGCAACGGCAATCAACCAATGGTTTGGTTGTTTTGCTCTTCGGAGAATAACCTGACAACCTCCAACCTCAAAAGGTTGGGGCCAAGGTCTGTTTCAGTGTCAGTTATTTCTGACGGATCGGGTGTAGGTTTCCTATGAGTGAATCCCCTTCTACCCAGACGCGACGCTGGACCCTCCGTTCAGTCTTTGCCGTACCCGAATCCTCTGGAGGGGTCCGGACCCTCAAATATCTAGGATCCCTAGGGTTTTGAGGGACCAAGAGCTGTTTGGAGCGTCTGGAAGATTCTTTCTTCTCATCCTGGGAGCCGCAAATGCCAAGATAGATCAACCTCCTCCACCGGTTTTTTCCACCTTCCGCCGCCCGTTCGCTGCCGGCGGGTGCCGAGATTTGGGTTTCTGGTGGGTTCAGGGAAGAGATGCTCTTCTCCATCTCAGCGACCCAACCGACCCAACACCTCAAGACTCCTCGCCACTCTCATCGCCACCGCCAGACGCGGGATCGCCCCCGGATCGCCCACGAAGACGTCCGAAGAAGTTCGGTCTGTGTGTCACAACCATCACAAAACCATCACAAAACCATGAACGGAATTCCCCTTTTCCATCCTTTTCCTTTTGCCCGATCGGTGAATGGCAAGGTCACCTGGAAATCCATGCAACCAGATGGCCATCCACGCTTGTTTAAGCCTCCCGTCCATGAGATGCTAGGACACTTTCCAGGTGTAGAGGACATCTCCAGTTTGGCATGGGTGGGGAGATGGCGAGCAGGGAGAGGTTCATGGAGAAGCTCTCACACCACATCAGAAGAATGGCCTTTGCTTTGCATCAGAGAACAGCACAGAAAGACGACACCTTACTACCGGGTCTGCTTGTATCAAGCGGACTCTAAGGGCTGATAGATTTGGTACAGTGGTTTCAGAGTAGACAAGATGTCCTTCAGATGGGGGTCCATAGGTAAGTCTTTCGATGCCTTTCAAACCATTCCTGACATAACGGCATCAGCCCAAGGTCGGCGACTGTGCTCTCATATGTGTGCTCATTTTTTTTTTTGGCAGGGTTCGTGCTCGTAGGTGCTTGCTTCGCTCAGCTTTCCTCAACCTGGAAGGACGTTGCAGATATTGCCCAGATGCTATGTGTACAAAGGACCATTCACATCCATTCACGATCTACTTAGTATAAGCCTGGTAAAGGTATTACTTTTTAGTCGAAAAAGAACAAACCACTTCAATCTACATTTTTGACACACCATGCCCATAGCTTCAGAGCTGGTCTCACTTAAGTGCAGCTGCCGGTAGTGACAGGTATTGACCCTGAGCCTCGAGCAGCTTTCAACGCGCCAGCTGTGTCAGCTTCACGCACGCGTGCAGCGCTTGCACTTTCCAAGCTCCACGAAGCGCGCGGTTGAGAGCCCGGCTTGGAGCTTGTAAGGTCCGGCCAATCATCGCGCTATGTCCTGCGCGCTTGCGGGGGTTGCTGGGTGACTAGAGAACCCTGCCTGTGTAGTGAGTAGTGGCGGCCAAAGAAGAACGGTGTCCTAGCAGGATCCAGCATGTGACCAGTGAGATCCACAGATTTTTTGAGGTGGTCCCGGGTCCCAAATAGATAGAAGCGGATCTACTTTTCTATCCATTTGGGGGGTCTATATGCAGCTGCCGTTCACACACGTCTGATCCAAGCCGGCCGAGACTCCGAAATTCGGCTGCGACTCCACCGGGCTCGGCCGCCGCCGCCCAGACTCTGTCGCTGGCTTCGGATGAATCGATTCATCAGACGAGCCTTTTCGAACTGGTTGGGGTTTGGGAGGTGGGATGGCCGAGTCGCTGTGAGGAATTGGCACTGACCTACCTTGTGACGGTTGAACTCGCTACATGGTGGTTGCCTACCCCCCAAGTGTGATTTTGGAGTATGGGTTCAATGATTGTGGTTGGTCCGTGGCCATAAGGTCACTAAGAACTGATGCCAAACCAAACGCATTGGCTGCGTCATGGTGTCAAATGGTTGGGTTCGGTCCTCGTCGTTCGGAGGGTTCGGGTTTCTTGCCCGGCTTTATTTGCAAGGGCAGAATTCCATGTGTCGCCAAGATGAACTTCTATTCTCCTCACCATCGTTTTGAGGACCCCTCGTGCTCAGTGGATCCAGAAAAACCTTCCCACAAGGATGGACTTCAACGTTCCCAGTGTTCCACGATCAATTGTCCAGGTTTGGTCGAGTTTGGGGTAAGTCTCCTTGCCACAGTTTCTGGTTTTTCCAAATCAATTGGATTGTTTTTTACCTTTACATGGGGACGGTTCAATGATTTCTACGCACTTTAACGGATGCCGTATCTACTGCCAACAATGGAAGTCTTTGGCTCATCATGTTATGGCCTGCTCATCGTCCACATATTATATAGACCTATCAGACGAAATCCAGTGACTTAGGTTTTTGCGGAGTAATGGAGTAACGGACAAGTTCGTGACCTTTCAGGGTTATACCGCCAATCTTCCTCACAGCAGATCAAGCAGGGTATTCCTCAAGCAGATGGACGGTTGGACCAATTAAACAACAACAGAAACCTGGACATGTTTTACAAAGGAGAGGCTCCAAGATGGGTATACGGTATACGGAAATAAACATCCAACAAAAGCAAAGTAACCTGGATGATTCGTTTTTCACTTCACGACGGTGTTCTGTGCCGAAAGGAAAGGATCAATTCAGGTTTGTGCACTCCAGGGTAAACGATGTAAAACTCAGTTCTACCCATGGCCCCTTGATCCCCTGATTCGAAAACACCTGTGGTGTCGTTCCGGGCGGGGCTGAGGATCCATGTCCAAACGCCGGCGTTGCGGGCACATGGCACGCGGAGTTGCTATTTGGTCTCCAACAAGAGCAACTTGGACTGTGAGTGGTGGAAGGATGCTCTCGATTTCGAGTGATTGGCGCTTGGGTTGGGTCTAGAAAAGGAGCAAGCTGATCTTGGGAATGCTGATCTTGGGTCCCTTAGCTTCAAAAAGAAGCCCTATAGATAGCCTTCTTGTTTCTCAGCGCCACCTAAAAGAGACCTACAAGTCAAGTTATTCGCGAGGAAAACAGGAACACATGCTTCCAAAAGCACTGCCAGGAGTCACAGATAGGAGTAGTGTTTAGTCCCTAGTTGTGTTGAGTGGATGGCTCCAGATGCACCTGGACCTCCAAGGGATTGCTAGTGCTGAAAGCTCCGTCGAGGAACACCCGGGCCCCTCCAGACCCCTGGTCCCGAGGCGGCAACAACGGTGGCGGTGTCCTATGGGACAGCTGGGTGACTCGATGGAAAGCGAAGCGGTGGACACCGATGGAAGAGCCGGAACCGGCACCGGCGGGTTCAGAACGGTGGCGTTCCACGCAGAACGGGGGTGACCACACGCAGACGTAACGCTGCGAGGAACCCTTTGTCGCGACGTGGGGGGTTGTCATGTCAACCCACATGTGGGGTTTTTCCCGCAGCTGTGAAACCGGCGTGCTTTTTGTTGGGCGACCGGAGTGTTTTTCGACCGAGCTGGGCGACCGGTCGACTGGCGCGAGATCCGACCGGTCAGGGCGACCGGTGCTCCGTTCGCGATGGATGGTGAGGGGGGGGGAAGTGAAGCATTCAGTCGGTACGTACCCGTGGTTTGGAGGTGAGAAATGGCACAAGTACGAGGACCTTCCAAGCCCGGTGCTTTTTGGCAACCTCGAATCACCTCGTTACGAGGCAATTTAGTCCGACACCTCTTGGTGTCGGTCCTGGTATACGGGCCCCCCCCCCATGTTGCTGGTGGACGTATGGTTTAGTCGTGGACGCTCATCTGTCCACATGGCAACATGGGACGCGACTGAAATATGACTGCACCAGTCCGTCAGCGGTCTACCTCTATAGGGAGTCACTTAGGTCTTCGGAGTGAACATCGTCATTTGAAAGGGCCCATGCCCGTCTCATCCACCTGCCCGTCTCTTCCATGAGATTTCCCATCTCATCCACCTGCCATCCACCTTCCATGAGTCATCTGAGATGATGAGGTTAGAGAGGACTACATCCTGTGCAACATGGAAGACCTATAGGGATACCTAGGGGGTCTCCTCTTTTGGGGGGGACGAATAGGATCCAACCGCCTGCCCGCTTCTCAAGGCTCACCGGCTGGGCTCCCCGAAGTTGATTCGTGTAGAAAGGGCCGGGGCCCTTCGTTCCTTCCCAAACTGAGACGCGGAAGAAGTTCCGCGGCTACTTCCGTGGCACGTGCTCCGATCTCGGCAACGCCTCCCTGGAGGCGCGCGAACCGCAAGACCGGTGACAACGGCGACGAAGCCGCGAGACGCGGACGGGACTCGGTCCGTGGGGTGGAATGTGAAGGGTCGGATGATTTGGCCCTAACAGTGATTTGCTTGGAGTCACAAAGGAGTGGTTATTAGCCCTTAAGTGAGTGGATAATGGGCACCCCTATCCTCCAATAGGAACCCCTTTGTGACTCCTGGTGCACGTTGTTGGCTTGGTGCCTTGAGATGAAGGCCTATACTTTCGTAGAACGAAGACCAGGGAGAACTTTCGGGGATCAACGTCGATGGCTACCCCTCCGCGTCAACACACCCTCTGTCATTCGAGCAGCTTCATTCTGTCATCGGCACCAACAAGCATCGCCTTCTCCCTCCCGCGGCCCCGGGGCGTTCGTTCGCCAACGACTGGAACTGCAGACACGTCATCCCTGTCGTGACCCCTCGGATCTCCTCGTTCCTCACGCGCGCGTGCTTGTTCCGAACGCCGCCTCGGGCTCCGGGGGGCTCCGATGCGTTCTACGCGTCGCGCGATCGGCGGCGGTCTGGGCGTTCGCGTGCGTCGGCAGGTGAACTTGATGAGCTTCGAGAAGCCCCGTGAGCTGCAAGAGTTGGTGACGCAGTTGGGAGGTGGACGCCCAGGCGCCAGGAGATCCGCCCCGGGTCAGGTGTGGTGGTGAAAAAAAGCCGATGATCATGGATGAGCGGTCGGTGTGGTCGTGGTTGTGAGGTGAGGGACAGATGTTTGGGTGGCTTTGTGTGTAGCAAAGCTATTAAAGCTATTGGATGATTTTTTTTTGTGCATATGAGGGGTTAGTTAGTTCGGGTGTAAGTCATACCGGAGTGGGGGTCAAGCGATGGAATCTTTCAAGAGCTATGACCAGTTTTCGATTGATTTTGACATCGTCCACGGTTTCCTCCGGGATGGCCAGCAATAGGTCCACCCACGGTCAAATCCTACGACACAAACCACCCAAAACCCTCCACGGATGGGTTCTGAATCCTACTAAGTGGATTATAGGCTTGTACCTGGAAACCGAAACAACCAGAAAGAAATTGATGTTTCCCCAGTCCCAGCCATTTCCTACGTAAAGGATCATACTTGCCATATTGGAACAACCATTTCTTTCTGGTTGTTTGGGGGTTCCAGGTAGGCCTTATCACCAATAAGCATATAGGATTTTGATGGATCATGTCTTTCTCCGACTCATTTCCATGTCCAATTTGCCTTTAGGATCTCTACGGGCGTGTGCCTGTCCAGAACCAAGCTGGCCCACTCGTGGCCACGGTGCCCAAGAAACACAGGTGGCAGCCGGTACCATGTGATCTTGGCCAATGCCGAGATCCCCTTGAGGGGCGTGCTGGAACACGGCGAGGTGAAGGCCGAGCTACGAAGCGGAGCGGCGAAGCGCGGCGAAGAGTGGGGTGTGTGTGGGGAGCCGATTTGGATGGGTAAGCCGCCCTCAAAATACCATCAAACACCAAGGTTTTCTTATATCAAACACAGGTTTTTTGCTAGGGAAAACCCCGGTTTTTGATGGTTTGTGTGGGCCCCTGGAGGTTGGTAGAGTCTTTCCAAGCTGGTGTTCCTTTCGCTACAGACCAGCTGGGCTTGCTCACAGATTTCTTGGACTGAGTCATGTGTCTGCAGGATTCTTCTCATCAACTGGAGGACCCACAGAGGAGCTTGGGTCCGCTTCGCTTGCCAGATTCCAACGGATTCCAACCACCGTGAATGGGTGTATCTCCGAAAAGCCGCCTCTTTTACAGCATTTTGAACCAGAAACACCAGCTCAGCCATGTTTGCCACTGGGTCGAACGGAAAGGCTGGCCGGTAAAACCGCCGCCCCTAGCCTTCCGTTCGACCATTTGTACACAAGGGTTGACCTGGTTATTTGGTGTAAAATCCTTGGTAAACTCACGGTGGTTCGGGATTCGATCCATAAAAATCAATGATGGGCCAGGAAGCCGAGTGGCTTTGCCGGAGTGGCTTACAACTTCCGTCAGCTGGGTCTCGTCGCTCGTCGCTCGTCGCTCGCCCTCGTTGCGCCTGGGGGTGTGGACGCTACGAGTGAAGGAGCGGTGTGATGACAGATCGTCCGCATGGACTTCTATGACTTCCAAAAAGCATCGCCTTTTGAAAGGCTTCAGGGCTTCAGGGTTGCTTGAAGAGGCTTGAAGCATCTGAATGACTTTGAAGATCAAACGGAACGAAGGGTAGGATCTCCCTTCCAAAAGAACAACAACAAAACAACATATTCTCCCAAGTTCCAACTGAGCTACTGTGAACTCGTCCTCCTCAGCCACATCCTCCACGTCAGGCGACCTTGCGACCGGCGCCCTGGTTTTATGGCCTCGAGGAGATTCTTTTTGCGGTGGGAGGTTGGAGTTGGAGCTTTTTGCTTGAGATCCTTATGATGTATATAGACTATAGACTCTTGATGAAGGTTTTTCAATTGGGGAGGTTATTAATCAAGACCCTACATTAAAGGGAATGTGAGGGGCACTCACCAAGAACACCTAACGAACTGATCCTCATCTGCCGGCAGTGCTACTTGGTGCTGCTTGGGTGCTTGGATTCAAGCGCGGGTGACGTGGGATTGAGGAGGAGGTTCTTTGATGAGCGGGGATGATGTACAGAAAAGTGAACCCATCATAAGTGACCCGGCAGTAAGTCGGAGATGGGGAATCCTTTCACTACAGACATGTGTGTTTGCTTCACTTCAAGATGTTTCGATTTGGGTTCGCAACAAAGAGTCTTGCATGGAGCGGCTCATACCTCTCATTGTGCACACTGGACATGTGGGACCACCCTGACCGAACTTGAGGATGGTCCATGTCGGTGACCGACCCGCTGGGGAGGGATCCTAGCTGGTCACTGGGAGGGTCCTGGTGATACCAGTGATTTCTTTCCCATACCACCATACCCTGAGAGTCAGAGACTATTTATCAAGAATGGTCTTGGACGGTGACCTGAGTTCAGGACTATCCTTTGCTTCAGCCGGGCCGTCTCAGCCCCCCCCAATATCCCGGAGTCGGTTGGGCGAGGTGGACTGCCAGGTCGACCCTGGCAAAGAAAGACCCTGAGAAGTGACAAGGTAGACCACAACCTAGATGTGTAACATCAGAATGCATCAGAGAGTGTACAGTTACAGTTTCACGCAGCCCTTTGACACTTTCCGTTTGGGGTCTACCATCGCTTTAAGGGGCTCTATCCTAGTCCTACCGCCGTCTGCCGCGGAGTGACCACTGGCTTCAACTGCGGACGAAGAACGGAGACGACGCAGCCTCGTCCAACTGCACCAGTTCCATGTCGGGCGGTGCCGGTGGCGGAACGGAGACGGCTTTCGGGGGGGGCCCCTGTCACATCCATTTTCCCATTCCGACTCGGGACTGCCGGTTGGGACTGCCTTCGAAACGGCCAGGGGTGGTGCGTGCCAGGGGGGGTCGTCGTCTGGGGCGGCATATATGGCAGTCCCGTGGGTCGTGTCTGGGATTCATTGGATGGGACTAAAAGCCGCTCCGAGCTCTGTGACTCCTGGTATTTCTCTCGTCGTTCTTGTGAAATGCTTCAGCGGCGTGGACGTCGCCTTGCAGGAGGGCGGCAAGGTGCACCGGCAACGCTGCGGCTTGCTGCAGGCGCCCGTCCTGGGGACCACGTCGTGAACGATTCGCGTCGTTCGTGGGTGACTCAACACCTCCCAAGACCCTAGGGATCCAGTCGTACGTCCTCAGAAGGTACGACTGGACCCTCCAAACCTACATAAACAGTTTCCAATCACCTTCTGACAAGGTACTTGGATCCCTAGGGAGAGGATCTTCGATGGGTTTTGCGCACTTCTACTGGAGTTGACTGGAGACGTTTCGTTCGACCATGTGAATGCACACTGCTCGATTCAAAGAGAAGCGATAGTGGGGTGGGTTCCACCACCAAGCTAATTTCTTTTCACGCGAATTTGTCTATTTTTTAAAGTTACATTTACATATCCTTTTGTTTTGTCGGAAGACATTATTGATATTCTTATAATCCCTGTAAAAACTTAATCCATAAAATCTGTCCCCCCAGGCTCCTGCATAAAACGGTTCTACGAACAACATGACTCTGTTTCAGAGACTCCAAAAGTGGAGGGGCACTCAATTTATGGACAGCCCTTTTTGGGTGGACTCCTATCCATTCTATGGAAAGGGAAAGGCAATCTTCCTATAGTCTCAGATCAAGCGCTGTTTCAAGCGTTGTTTTTATGAAACCTTCATTTCCTTGCAAACATGACCCCTTATAACATGTTTCTTTTTTGAAATGCGTGCCCTTGAGCGTTTATCTTGACCCAATGAGGGTCTGGAATGAGGGTGGGGTAAACCAAATTATGGTTGGGTCTATTTTAGGTTATAGGCGTACAAAGGTGTCATTTTGGTTGGTTTTGGTCGGTCTGGGCTCCCGATTCTATAGTGATCTGGTGTCCATCCTGTTAGCTGGGTAATCCATTCTATAGAGCAAGAAAGGTGGGCTCCAACATTTTATTGCTATAGAATGTGGAACCCGGACCGACCATGGGAATTTCATGGAAGATTTCTTATTCTAATCTTTTAAACACTTGTTATTAATTATCATACAACCCAAACTTGTCTTTCACTGGACGGGACCAGCAGGGACCAGCAGGTCCTTGCTAGCACTTCACCCTCTGCATCATCGGTTCTGACGGCCACATCCGGCAGGGCCACGTGGCTGTGGATCATCGCCCACGCTATCAGCAGCCACCGGGCGTGCGTTAGAAGCGAGAAGACAGACAGACGGCATGTGGCTGTGGGTCATGGCATTGACCTCCCGGGTAGGTAGTGTAGGTTCATTTGGGGTGGGAAAAACCAAGGTCTCCTGGTGCCATAACCCCCAGTCAACAAAAAGGGGTGCCCCACAAGGCCCGCAAGGGATCACCCAGACAGACGGTTGATTGAACGACATGGTTTTTTTCGGACGGTATATTTAGATGGTAACTTGTGGATACACATCACAAGCCCTAAGGCCCTAGGCCTTTTCACCTGTGGAACACGTTCATTCACATGCTGTGGATCCTTCCGGAGTCAACCAGGACTGTTGATGAATAACAGTTGTTTGGATGCCGGGGGCATGTCGGTCGGGAACGGCTGTGTCGTGGGAAGTTCCGCAAATATAATATATATATATATATATGATAGGCGTCCAGACGAGCTGTTGGAACGGATGGGGCCAATTCCAAATTGCAGAGCTGCAGATTGATTCAGATTGATAGATCTACGTGTCCCGCCGATGTCAGCTCAGGACAGATGATGTGTCAGACGAGTTGGATTTGAGGACACGGGGTTTCAAGAAGGAAGTGGGGAGAGAAATGCTAGGTTTTGTCATGGTCATGAAAGTGATGGCGTATGGTCATGAAGCCTCAAACCTCCCTTCTTTGCCAACACCACTTCATGCATGTTTTGATCATATAAGAATTCGTTTAACATGTGCACTTGATGGCGGCCTTCACCTGAGATGCCTTACATTCGTGCCATATGATTTGACAACGTGGACAGTTCATCCAGAGACCGACCCATTGGGTTTTGATCCCAGTTCGGTTTGACCTCATCCTCGCTCCGGTGATGACCTCATCCCTCGCTCCCCGGTTCCGCTGCTTCGGCTTCGGTCCGCACCGGGCGGGTCCGAGAGGAAGAGATATCTCTTTGTGAAGGTCATCAAGGTCGTCGCGTGACTGGCAAAACGGGAGGAGGAGGTCTCCAGGAGGGGGAGACCCATGTTTTGTGTGGGCAAAACCCCGGGGGTTTTGGGGGGAGGTTTTTGTTGGGGCGAAACACCAGTGGACTTGTCTTTTTGCTTGCAAAGGGAAGACTTCAATTTGTGTGATTCTCTATGACTGACTGGCTATGGGCCTATGGGCAAACCCACTCGCAACCCCCCCCAAAACTCGATGTTTCCCATGCACGACAAAAGGAAACAGGCCGTAAGACAGGTAGTAAGAGCTCGGATGATGCACCTCAGCTTCCACACCATGTTTCGATTGGCAGCAGGATGTTTGAAGTGGCGAGAAGTGGCTAGGAATAGCCCACAGAACCTTTTGGTAGAGCACTGTGTACATGGAACTCAATTCGGGTTCCTGGCTTCAACCCTCCTACATCCACGTAGAGACACGCTCCGCTCGTCTTCCGCGCATGAATTTGCGCTGTGGATGTCGAGCTCGGGGGTGGTGTGGCTCGTCCGGATGGGGCGGATGTGACGTGGACAGGGGCACCCCTCTGGACCACCCCGATCCTTCCTCCAACACCCAACGAACTGCGCGCCACTTGGAGTCACAAAGGGGTGGTTCTTAGCCCCATCCAGTGAGTGGATGTGTACAGGAGCACCTGCACTCCTTCCTCCGTTCCTTCGGCACCCCTTCCTCGCGACATGTGACTCCTGGCCGGTTCTTCTTCGGCCGCGCCAAATTCTTCCTCGGTCGATGGCGAGCCCCGAGGACCGGGTGGTGACGCCGGACACGCGGCCCACGGACGAGATCGACACCTTCGTCGAGGCGGCGCAGGGGCGGCACGCCGCGCAGAGGGGAAACGCCGCACGTGACGGACAGATCATCTCGGACAGCTTGATGTGGATGATGTGGCATGTGTGGTTTTCACGCAGAATGAAAGTTCACAAAAGCCCAGAGAGAATTTGAATGCATGGTTTCTTTTGGAAGGATTTGGGCGACTTTGAGCGTAAATCCTCCATTCTTTTGTGGGACGGAACGTTCGGGTGGTCAGTTTGGAGAGATTTGATCTGACCCATGCCATGCGGCAGGGCCGGGGTACCATGTCTTTGAGGAGTAACCCCACAGCTGTGGCAAGGCCAACTGCTGACTTCACCTGCGAAGACCCTCTGAAAGTCAACAAAGTCCAATGATTCCCATGTGAGTGAGCACGTTTTTTTTTTGTTTTTTAAAAATTGTGTGATGATCCATGATCCACCAGCATCCTGGATGCTTTGGCCGATGTGGAAGAAACACGTAATTCGGAAGCTGGCCAGGTGAACGCATGGTCTCCGTCCGACGGTCCGACCGCGGCCGGGGCGTCCAGCTGTACATGAACAGAACGCCTGACGTCTGGCGTCAAGCTACGAGGAGCTGGCGCCAGGTGGCGCCAGGTGGTGATAGAAATCGTCGTCCAGCTTGATGACGCAAATGCAGGAGAGAACCCTCTCCTCCGGGAGGTCACTGTACCCTAGGCTTCCTGGCCCAATTGATGTAAATGGTCTGTACTTGAATCCACTAAGGATTTGACACTACAAAAATACATCAAAGTACCAGGTCAAAGCAGTCTTTCTAAATGGTCTTTGACGGCCGCGGCCTGGCATCGTGGCCACCCCGATGGAAAGAAGCGAATGCCTGCCGGGTGGGTCGGTGGCACTCTGAAATCGAGACCAGCCTCCAAGTCTGACTGGTGCGACTTGTAGGGAATAAGGGAAGTTTCGCCCCCCAACCAGGACCCTCCAACAGGCTGTTTAGAGACCCTAACAGGTGGTTTCTGGGCACCTGTTGTCACCAGGAAGCACCTGTTGGAGGGTGCTGGAATAGATATTCTATTGGATCCAGCCACCCTCATTCCCTGCGAGACGCACCAGTCAGAAATCCGACGGCCAAAGTGCTTGGGGAAACGGTGGGGGTCGAACTGGTGCCAAATCCTTCTGTCCACCTCCACGTTTCCCAGCATCAAGCGATGTGTTTGCCCAGGCGCTCAATAGCCCTGACTCCCGGGGGTCTCTCAAAACCTTAAAACTATTCAGACCCAGACTCCTCTGCCCACAAGGATTTGGGTTCCTTCCATGTCTCCACAGCATTCCAGCCCACCGCCCGCACCTGCACTCCCCGCATGGAGGTCGCATGGAGGTCGCGTGGGTCGTGTCGCGACTCTCCACCGTTGGGGTCCCACTCCTCCAAACTCAATTCGTCTGCAGATGTTCTACTTCAACCACCCCCCCCGTGGTCATGGGTGGTCGACCTATGTCGACCCCAAAGGACCAGGTATGTTTGTTTCCGTCCAAAACTAGACACCAGAAAATCTGGGCGGTGCTCCACAAAAAAGGGGAAGCAGGGTTCAGCTAGCAGGGTTCAGCTTTGATCCCACCAGTACTTCACATCTGCATGGCCCGGGCCCCCGCCGACGTTCGTCCATCGGATCCGACCCTCTGGGCGTTCGCTCGACCTGGCTCGCTCGACTGCGGCCGCCGCTCGCTCCGTAAGCGAAGAACGGTGCTGTCCAGGTGACCTTCGACGGTGTGGCGAAGCGCACTCGGATCTGCCAGGCAGGGTCTGGGGCGGTCCCGGGCCGGTTGGGGGTTGGCATGGCAGTTGAACTGGGCCAGGGATGGTGGCTGGGCCCGCAAGGACTTATGTATCATATTTATTCAATCCTTCATTGCTGTTTTTTGGTTCCGGATGCTTTGGTTCCCACGCGTTGGAGGTCTTTCACAGACCCCTTCCGGATGCTTTGGTTCCTGCGACGGTCCTTCAAGGGGTCGGTGCGGACCCGGGACCTCAACGGCTAAAGCATGGAGCTGTAGAGAATACCGGGCCGAAGTCGAAGCACCATTGTTTTCATAGCAATCCCGAACCACCTTTGTTTTACGGGTTTTACACTACAAAACGAGATCAACCATTTTTAAAATGGTCTTTGACGTCCAGGGTATATATATATATATATATCGCGCTTCCTGTCTGGGTGTCCACTGGTGACCTATATAAGCAGTGTAGGGCTGTCCATTGGTAACCCCGAACGGAAGCAGCTGGTATCATATAATCTATATAATATACATTCCCTGGAACTCACATGGAAGTGGCTGGCATGGATTCTTGGAAGACCATTTTCCTCTACAAACAGGGTGTTTTCCACTTCCATGTTAGTTCCAGGGAGAGTATCTCCTTTGTCTGTTTCACTCCTTCTGCCCTCGGAGAGAAACCTAATATACCATCAAAAACCAACACGCAAAATCGCACGTGTGGGGTCTTACAGCCATGGCCAGATCTTTGTCATTGCATCTTCCAAGATTTATCTAGGAAACAGTACTAACTACAGGAATCTTAATGGGAATCTTATACCAGGACCATCCAAGCAGTGGACTACCCCACACTACCTATAGGCTTCCATTGGGCACCCCTTGGATGGTCCAGGTAATCATCTTAATATCTCTCCCCAGGTGTTTTCGGAACTCCTCCATGCGAAGCTTCCCTTTTGCTCCGAACACGGTCTCCACCCACCCACGACCAGGACGCGCAGTCGGCAGGACGCGCAGGGGACGCCCCATGGTTCGATGGGGCGTCCGGGTGCCAGGACGATGTGTCGCCCAGCTTCAACGATGACTTGGTCTTCGAGTTGTCCTTGGCGAAGACCAGCAGTGCCGCGGTGACCAATCTCTCGTCGTCCGAGTCGTCCCTCGCGCGTGCATGCCGTCGCACGACGACGTCGGTACGACGTCATACGGTACGGGGGGGTCGAACAAGGCTCGGACTCCGGGAGGTGGGGCGTGACGTGGACGCGAAGTGCGAAGAGAGCAGCGAAGGCTGCACCATCCCGTGGTGCATCGGACGGGGGGATGCATCACAAGATATGATGTGTTTGTTCAGCTGCTCAGCTTCGGCGATGCGGCGGGTGTTGAGATTTGGGCCAAGACCCAACTGAACGTCTATTCAACATTGATTTGGAACCATTTAGATTTTAGATACGACGTGAACCACCCGTCATCTTGGAGCAACTCAAGTTGATTGAACGGTTTGGAGCTCTAAAACTGCAGCTGCTGATCTTTTTGACGTACGCTGTACGCTTGCATGGCTGATCATGGCTGGCTGGCTTTCGTCTACGTCAGGTAAAAACGAGCGGCAGGATGACAACGAAGCGACCTGGGAGGACCTGGTGGGCTTCCTATTCTATTCGATGCGGTCTTTGTTCGGAGACGCAAGCCACATCCGTTCCGTCCGACAGCCTTCCGTTCGACCATTCGACCATTACACAAACGGTAGACCTGGTTTTGCAGTGTAACATCCGTCAGCCCAGAGCAATGCTTCGAAACGGCACGAAGCATCACAGTAAGTTCATGCTGGTTGCAACCTGCAAACATGGATGTAGAGACCACCCCAGGCAACCACCCTCCGGGAAGAAAAGAAAACCAGTAGACCTCCCAGGCGATCGGCTCCAAGGCGAGAAAGGGGATCTCACTGATTTAAAGACATGCACACCCCCTAGACTGACTGGTGCGATTCGTAGGGAAGAACGGAAGTTTCGCCCCCAATAGAGATTCTGGATCCAGCCACCCTCAGCCACCCTGCTAAGCACTCGCACCAGTCAGAATCCAAGTCCAGTTCGACGAGTCATCCGGCACCACCCTTGTGGCTGAAATCCAAAGCTCCAACCCCCCAGTTGAAGCGCTGCGCTGCGAATGCGGCCGCCCGATGATCTCTCATGCGGCCGCTCCGCCGCGCCATCCGACGGAGGAGCTGGAGCGGAAAGGGCCGGTCTTCATCGACCTTTGGACCATCGGCCCGGGGCGCCCAGGAGGGGGAGGTGGTGATCCCGGCTTCCGTCTGGTGGGGAATTCCCATGGAACTCGGGTTTCCAGCAAGTGATACAGTACTATATGAAGGTCATATGTGACATCGCATCATGTGCTTCATCGGTTGCTGACATTTTGTTGACATTTCGCATCCTTAATGTTTCTGCTGCTGCTTTAGACTCTTCTGACAAAGGGATGCACTTGGCTTCTGGAGCAGTTCTTACAACATGTGACACTTTCCGTGCCATCGCTACTTAGCCCTTTGACCTCCCGACTGCACCAGGAAACAAACCTGTGGATACGAGCCCCTTTGGCAGTGTCATTGGTGAATTTGTTTGCTGGACTGATCAAAAGATTTTGAACGCCAACTGTCAATAGTTATTTTTTTGTAGCTTGATGATGCCACACTTGGCGTGTATCGCCTGGGGATTGTCACATGACGTGTATCGCGTGGGCGTTGTGCGTGTCGCGTTTCTCGTGGGGAGGCTCCAAGAGCAACGAGCACTTGGGCTCCGTCGAAGCCTTCCTTCAGGAGATCTGACCTTCTCGGGCGCAGGGGGATCCGGAGAGCTTTGCTTGCATGTTGCTGCGTCAGGCGGTTTTTTGTTTTTAAGTGTTCTGTATTCAAAGCATACTGAACTTGCTTGCAGCCTTTGGGACATATCTCTGAGAAGAACGAAGAAGGAAGGCGTTTGGTCAATTTTCAACGAAGCTTGACGTCCACATGGAGCTTGGTGATGGGATGTTGGTGACATTTTCATGTGACAAATCCATAGAGATCTCGGATGATAGCATCCTTCTGAAGGGGGGGATGGGTTGATAGATGTCTTCGAACATCTGTACTTTTCCCCCCCCCCACACAGCTCAACAACACGTGTTACTTTTGTTACCCACGTGCAAAATGGTCAACCAAATTAAATATGACCTTAGAATCCCTATAGACCCCCACTAACATCAACTTTGATAGGAAAAAAACATGTTGTTGGGTTCATATGGGTTCACTAGCTTCACGGCGTAGACCAAAACCGTAGGGGGGGTGCCGGTTCACCGCCTTCAGGTGCCGGTTCCGCTGTGTTGGTTCACTTGGTAACCATGGTGATCCATCCGGTTTGGGCTCCTCTCGCACCGCTCCGGTGCACCGTTCGGTCGATGCCGGACACTGAGGGTCGATGTCTTCACGTCCTGTCGTCCTGGTGCGCAGGTCCGATTTCCGCCGGTCCCGGGGGCCGCTGGGCCCGGTCGAGCGAGTCGTGCGGGTGCCCAGGACATTCTCGTCGATGAAGTCGGACAGCCTCAAAAGGAGCCGGGGCGGCGGGAGAGGCCGTCCGAACCCTGCCCCGGTGCCGGAGTTGAAACACGTTGGGGAAGGGGTGGAAGAAAGAGCAGAAAGAGGAAGGAACCATGACCAGAAGTCTCCCTACACCTCCTGGCCCACCTCCGTTTCGAAGATGGTTGGGGTGGGTGCCAGGGGGGTCTAACCACCGAACCTGAGGATATGGGCCAGGAGCCCTAGGGTCTATTCTATTCTCGATCTTCTGAACGTTTGGTTTCCCACTTGCGACCTGCTTTGGGGATGACCCCGGCATGCTGCATTTTCCCGGCCAGCGATAGGTGCCCCCGAAATCGGAACACAAACCCATAAATCCACCACCTACCCGGAATTGGCCAATCAAGCCTCCCCAAACACAAATATAGAACAAGTCAAATACAACTACAGAGTGCTTTTCAGAAAGACACAGTTCCTCAAGAAGTGTGTTTTCTTTTTTCAAACTTTTCTTTTTGGATCAAGCTGGTGTGTCAACCGATGCCCTTTGGTCACATGGTGATGTTTATTTCTTCTTTTTGCTGTGCACGGTGATACAAGCAACGCAAGAACCCACGGGGTGCTCCTCTTCTTTGGGATGCATGATATTCTTATATGGGTGGGTGTGTATTGGAATAGGGAGAGTTCCAAAAGACCCCCGGCCAAAAATCGACCAGTCTATCCATTGCTTCGGGGGTCTCCGTATTGGTCGATGGCTGTGGGTCCAAACCTGGAGCTGGGTGGATTTCCGGAGTCGGTTCTGTTCATTTTTCGGTGGTGAACCGGTCCGTCCCGCGGTGCCATGGCCCACCCAGACGCTCCGTGAAAACAGCCCGACTCTTGGTCCCAAAACCTAGGGATGGGTGAGAAACCCCAGACCCCTGACCAGTTCGGATTCGGGTCCAATCCCATATGAATAATGAGGGTCCAGGGTCGAGTCTGTGCATAGCCAAATACACACCCAGTGGCTCTTGATCCATGGTGAGATGTGTCACTCCTGCGAAACACGCTGGACTCCTACGACGAGGATCGTTGGGTTCATCTCGCAGGAGGTGACACGAACTGCTCGTGATGCGCGGCTGAAGCGCCAGGAAACGAGCCGGGGATTCGTGTGTGTTTGGACCAGTGAAGGGCGAAGCAGAAGGGGCGCAGGTTGTGGTTTAGATGCTCAAGGCTGATCATTTGGCCGGGCAGGGTTTGGTGGGGGATGTGTGTGAGCTGTTTTGTTGGCCGGTTTTGTTGGTTTGAAGACTTGTGTGGGTCTGTGCTTCTTCCAAGCTGCAGAAGCAGGTCAGCACGGGAGCGCCCGATGAAGCCCGGGAGAGTCCGGTCAGCACCACCCAAAGATCCCAAAGGACGGTTCTTGGAAGGAAAGGACATAGTTAGATGAGGTCTATGAATAACCGAACTGGGTGGTGCTGGAGTGCTTGTAATTGATCCCTCAAAAAAAACATTCAACATCTTCCAACGACTCAGAAGGTTGGCAGGGAGGCCCCTCCTCCGAAGGTACGTGGATTGTGGTAGAGGTGATTCTTCCCAGTGAGCCGCCTATTTGGCTCGAAAAAGTTTCAAGCAGGCAGCCGGTGTTTCTTTTTTGGGGTACAGTACCTAATATATATATATATATATATTCGTGTATGATAATGATATGCGTATGGTGATCCCCACATATATAGAATATATATATATATTATATAGAAACGGTTTCCAAAACATTTTTAGTGCGGATCGACTTTTCTATCTATTTGGGGGTCTACATACATTACATGGAACTGTTCAATTCTTTTGGGGTGCAAAGGACTATGTCCGTTGTGAAGTACTACTGCGCGATTTGAAGTCCAATTTTTGTGTGCCACAACCGCAAGAGCCCATGACATACCCATGACCAAGTTAAGTAGAGGTTTCACAATTCTTCTTCACGAGTTCCTGCTCTCCTATGTGAAGGAAGATTTTGATACCACCAGGAGTCACAGAGCTCGGGGTTGCCGAACTTGGAGAATAGGGGGGTCCCCACATCCACCATCCACTCACTGGATGGGACGAGCCACACTACCCACCTCCATGTGACTCCTGGCGGATGTTCATACCGATTTGTGATCATGACCTTTTCATCCAATGAAGGACGATCCACCGACCCCAATCTGGGGCGATCCACCGACCGTGGTCTGCGAAAAGCCGTTGAACAGCGTCAACTGCTCGGCTGGACAATTCGACGACTCTTCACGAGGGAGACTTCCCCCTCCTGGCAACTCGAAGCTCCCCAAGACCCCCCAGGCTCTGAAAATGGCCTATTATAGCGCCCACAGGGCCTGGCCTATCTAGAAATGGCTCCTCCTTGATATGGTCCAGTCTGTTCATTTGGGGTGGGAAAAACCCAGGTAGCTCGGTTTTGACCCGCAGCCAAATCACCACTTGGGGAATTGGGCGCAAAAAATTCTGGATAGGACATGTGTGCCAGGACCATCCAAGGGGTGCTCTGTCTGGAAGCCTATAGGTAGTGTGGGGTCCAGCCAGGACACCCCGACTGGATGGTCCTGGTGTGTAGAATCAAGCAACTTGACCGTCCAGAAACCGTGACCCCTTGAATCGTACCAAGCGAGCCAAGTTGCGCGAGCTGAGCTGGGCCTCTTTCCACCAAGACGAAGGGCCATTTTTAGGGAAAGCAAGGTGGATAACAGTTGACAACCAAGGTTGTATACCCTCAGTAGACTCATTTGGACCCTGACAATTCACCCTACCATGGACCCTGACCATTTTCCTCTACAAATCAGTGGTTTTCAGGCTCATGCGATGTAGTCACGGAACCAGGGCGTATGGCCTCTCCGACGCCCAGTTTCGCGAGGAGAACTTCAGTGTCCGCGCCTTCCGTGGACAACGAAGGCGTTGAACTGGTTGTGTTGGCCGGGGGGGTCGCTCGGACGTTGAAGAGGATCAAGTGCACCACCACCCAGTTGCCTGAGAGTCACTAGAAAAGCACTGGTCTTTAGGGTACTCCTCCAGCGGATGAACATGGGTACCGGTCGAAACTGGGTTTTCCTTCCCAGGGTCGGTACGTACCGGGTCGGTTGAACACTTCCGTCTCTTTACTTCACAGTCGGCACAGTCTGACTCCTGGTGGAGGGCACAGTCGAAAACCGCGTCACCTTCGTTGATCGGAATGGTGCTCCGTGGCGCACGGTCTACTTCGGCGCACGCACGGCGCAAGTTGTTTCGTGGTCTTTGACTTCCAGGGGATTTTGGACACAGTTTGGAGATGGGGCTCTTCCAACAAGTGGAGTTCATAGCCACAAAAAAAGCAGGTTTTTCGATGGCAAGATAGAATGCGTGCCCCCAATTTTGTGCTCAAAACCAGTTTCACCAGCCAGGCTGCGCCCAAATCTGCCGATGGCCTAGAAGCATCGCCCGACACTCCCACAAACACGAAAAGCACCTCCCATCCGTGGATGGCACCCCCCTATTCAGAAAGGACCTATGTTACGATGCCATCCCTGTTGGCCGGACGTGTTCGTCGAGATCATGAGGATCGTTCCGACCGGACATCGTCGCCTTCGCTCGTGGAATGAAGGAAGAGCACCCCCGCCCATTTGGATGGATTGCTCTTGATTGGCTCAAGTCCCAAGGGTGAATATAATTGAATATATACTTATATAAGTTGGGTCTGTCCTATTACTTGTAACAGTCGGTCAACAAGAACATCACTGTTTGAGAGAAGGGCCTGGAACACCTCGCCATCCACCACTGGGCCCTGGGAGGTAGACCCACTCAATACTAAGGATTGGGCCATTTTCAGAGTCGGGAGTGGCGAGTTGAACATGAACATCACAAGCGTCTGCGACGTGGTCGGATCGGGAGTGAACTCGGGTGGAACTCACCGCCCCTGTAGATACCTTGGATGATCCAGCCACCCTTGATCTACGACACTTTTCGTCGCACCAGTCAGACAAGAGGGGGTGAAAGGAGCCAAGAGTCGAAGAATTGGAGCCCAGAGTCAGCGAGTATTGGATCCAATACTGTAAGAGTCTGGGGGGGGTTGGACAAATTTCCTGAGACCCCGTCGACATGATGTCGTGATGTCGACATGATGTGTGATTTCTGCGGCGAACAACGGCAGGTTGAAGTTTACCTGGGGACTTGGCCAGGACAGAGTCAATGGAAAGAGTTGTGGATCTTTTCGCGGAGGGAGTGGGGGTGTGGGCATGGTTGGCATGGCAGGGCATGGCGTGTTACAGTTTTGGGGTGAAGGACAAGTCGTTCTTTTGGGTGCCTCTTTTGGCAGACACCTCGCACGACGTGCAGCTTACAGAGAGAGGCGTCACAGAAGCGATTCCTGCAGCTCGAAGGTTCTCCTGCAGCTCGTGTCTCAAAAATACCACGACTCCAGGAAGCTCCTGTAGCTCGAAACTGTTTTTCGACACCATGACGAAAGGATTCTTTTCAGGGTTCTCCTGGAAAGGAAACACATGATACTATTATATATACGTTGAGTAGCGTTTTGATATGACCCAACTCCAGTAAAATGAGGGCTTTGGCTTGTATAGGGATTATATGTGATTATATCATATACTTCTTAGTTCAGAAGGATCCTGCAAGCCTAGCCAGGGAGTCTTGCAGCAAAGCGTGCTTAGCTCGCTTCGTCTCAGCAAGTTGATTTTTTTTTGGTCCTGTCCTCAGTCCTCATCCCGGTTTCAGGCTTTTCAGTCACGTCATGGTCATCCTCACTCGTCGGACGTCTCGTCTGCAGAATCCCCTCCCGTCCGGCCGCGCGGCGTTTGCGGCGTCCGAGCAGCACACAGAGGAGTCCAACATTTTCTACGAGATGTGGTTCCTCCCGGATTTGGACCCCATGGCAGTGCTGAAGGCTTTGCCAGCTGAAGTGCCTTTGCCCAAGGCTGGGTTCGGAGCATGTAGCATGAGAAGGAGCTGGCCCACAGGGCGGGTTGGGAGGGAATTCTCAAGTAGAGGTCAAAATGAGAACATAGAGTATTAATTTTTCAATTGTGGAAGATTTACTTCAGATGGTCATTGAAAGCGGTCTTATACGGGATGTTTCTGTGTTTCAAGTGGGTCTATTTGAATGTGGGTGCCTGCATCAGCATTTCTTGATTGTTTTGGATCGAACCTTATTTAAGGCCAACTCCAGAAAAAAGGACGTTGCACAATGCTGCGCCGCTGACCCCGCGGCTGACCCAACACGACCTTGGCCGCTGACCCATTGGCCGCTTCAAGACTGATGGATTGTCTTCCCTTTTTCCAGGGCAACCTTTGGGCGTTTTGAGGTTCGCACACTCCGTGGAAGAGTGATTCTTTCGTCGATGGCACCACCGGATTGAACATGGTGATCCGAACCCGTGCCCGCCGTGGATTCCATTCCACTTCCACCATGGATTCCATTCCAGGGAGCCTTCATCTAGAACGGTGGATTCATCAACTGCCCCCCCTTCAAGCCAGATGTAAGATTTGAGACAAAGGGTTCAACTAGTAGCGTCCGTGCTCCTACAAGGTGAAGGGCGACGTTTGGAGAACTGAGAACTGAGAACAGCCTGTCGCAGAAAAAAGGACGACAGATGAGTTTGCCCAGCCAACTGAATTCCTTGTCTTCGACAGGACCTACGACAGGACCTACGCCAAGTCATGGCATACTCCCAACGTAACCATGGCAGATCCGTGCCACTCGTCCTGACCTCCTGTTCCTTTCAGCTTGGCTCGTCCGCTTTTGGAGGCCTTGGCTGAGAAGTTCGAAGAGAAGCAGATGATCTGGAACCTTGCAAGGACGAACTTGGATGAACACACGTTTTGCACCACGGAGGACCCGAGTGTCCATTATAGCCCCGGAAAGAGGTGATTCGGGGTGTCCATCAACCACCCCGACTGGGGGTCCAGGTATAGTCTATTGTCCAACTTGACACATTCTTGTGGGCCAAGTGCCACGGTGAATACCTCGTCCAGAGGTCGAAACAGGAGTTTCAACCTACTGGTCGCATCGTCGAGACCAGTCGCGACAAGTCGTGGGTCGTTGGTCTTGGCTGTGGTGATTTGCTGGTGATTGCTCGTCACCTTGGTCTTCGCTTTTGCATCACTTCACCCGTCTTTTCTCGGTCTTCCACCTCCGTCTGTCGCGTTCAACGTGATTCGCGTGATTCGCGTGTCGGCGTGTCACCGCCGCTCGTCCCTCGCGTGTCGCGACGACACCGTCGTCGGTGTCGACCGAGGGACGAAGTGGCCGATGAGCTGAATGGGATTCATGAGGCCCGACGGGTCATGTCTGGTCACGGTCACGGTCCCGTCCGACTCGTTAAGGGGCACCTGAAAACCGACCGGTTGACTATGGTTGACTGGTTGACCAGGGAAGTCATGAACCTACCCGGGAGGTCAACCTACCAGGATGAGTTTGAAGCTCCGGCTGTTGACCCACAGCCATGTGGGTTTGCGGAGGCATCTTTTTTTGTTGGAAAGGTCCTCACAATGCGGCGATGGTCCCAGGTGCTGTGATTTCTTTTCAGGTATTGGTAGGGAGTGTTTGAAGGTTTTTACACTCCCTACCAAGAAGTGACGTGTTTTACGTGACTGTTTTGGTAGGGAGTGTTTTTCAGTTTTTGTTCCCGAGTCTTTGCCAGAAGTGAAGCAGAAGCGACGGGTCGGGCGGATGTGTTGCCCGGAATCCGGCCAGTTGATGAGTGTAGCCAACCCAGACACGACTAATGGGACGGCCATATATACCTATAGTTGACCCCCCAAACCACCCCAACTGATCGGCATCGATGGGCATAATTACATGGAGTGTCTGGGCCATGTTTGAGGCCTGTTCCTCCTCTTTGAGGAACAGAACCCTTTTGGACGAAAAAGAGATCGATCCTCTGGAACCTTTGGTTCCCAGCTGTTCTTCCACGTTGGTTGGAACGAATCCTCCGACTCCACGTCGGCTTGCCCCGATGAGATTCCGTCGGTGTCCGTCGGGTCGAACTCACTCCACAGCGTTGGCCGGCTTCAGCCATAGGCCTATCCCGAGCCCGGCAATACGGTTGGTTGATTGGGAAGGGGGTCATAAACCCCAGTGGTGCACCACCAATAGGTACCTTTACCTCGGCGTTTGCACAAAAGGTATACAGCTAGAACCACGCGCCGTGGGAATTCTCGCAGATCTTCTTGCGGCTTCGGGAAGAAAACAAGGCCACCACCGCAGGCCCCAAAGGTATGGTACAAGGTCGACGCCTCTACACATACCTGGATCTTCCAACTATGACAAATTAGCTGGTTTTATAGATGAACAGGCAGACATTTGGCACAGTTGGAAGATCTAGGGTGTGTATATATTCCCCTTTTTGGGCCACCAACCACCCAAGATATGGTCTTTTCCTATCAAAACACAGCCCTGGAAGTCAAAGACCATTTTAAAAATGGTTGATCTCGTTTTGTAGTGTAAAACCCTTAGTAAAACAATGGTGGTTCAGGATTCAGGCTATGAAAACAATGGTGGTTCGACTTCTAGGGACAGGTCATATCAGGGTTTGACATCGGCCCGCCCCGCTCGCAGAACATGGAGCAGATCGAGCAGGACGAGCTCCGCCGCACGGGGCGGCAGTTCCAATGCACGGCCGCCAGCATTTGGCCGGTGCAGTCGGCACAGGACGGGAATGGAGCGCTGCTTGTTTGGTTGATGTTTGGTAGCTTAGGCTTTAATCAGTGCCTAGTTCCTGGTTCTTCAAAGGGACCTTTTGATAACCTGGTTTGAGGTCACTTGGGCCTGTAAAAGGTCACTGAGGCACTCCAAAGAGGTCACTTTGAAGAAGCTGGTTGCTTTTGGATTATTCCTTTGTTTTGGTACGCTTGCTTGTTTGTTTTGTTTGTTTCACGTCGGCAAATCACATCAACGGGAAAGGTCGAAGGTGTCTTACACAAGTTCTGTGAAGAATTTTGGTATAGCCGTTGGCAGCGGTTGGATAACATGAAACGGTGGGTGGAGTTCAGAAAGGGCTTGGTTCTTTTCAGCTGTTCATGATCCAGACTGACACGAGGCCCCCCCCCATCAACATCCAGGGCCCGTGGATGTGATGTTCGACCCTGGCCCGTGGATGTGATGTTCGACCCTGGTTGCATGGATTCTGGATCCGCGTGTGGTGGACGCGAGGCTGTGAGGGTGGATACGTGTGGCGGATCCTCCCCCCCTGGCGGTCAGTGGGTCAGTTTTGGCCTTATGAGCTGCTGGGTGGTGCATGCAGACGGGACATGGAGAAGATCTCAGAAACATCTCACGACTGACGCAGATCACCAGATCAGTCTGTAGACCTTCGCTGCTCTACGTGAGAGTTCGTTCGTTTGACGTCCACCACGAATCCGTTTGCTCACCGGCGCTCCACGGCGTCGGGCCTACACCTCTTCGGGGTGACCCGGACCAGCAAACCGTGTTGCGAACCGGGCGCTGGCGAACCGGGCTTTCGGTCATGGGCGAACCGGGCTTTCGACCCGGGAGGTCGAAACGTACTCTTCGATTTCAAGCTCCGGGCCCAGAACGCGTTGCACCGCTTTCCCCACACGGCGTTCCGGCCACCAACGGTCGACGCCTGGGCCCCCTGGACCGGTAGAGGACCAAGCCGGGCCCCTTTCAGTCGCAAAGAACCACCGTTCAGCTCGCGCGCGCACGCCACAGCACGCCACAACATGGGCGGCCAGGGGAAGCATATTTGCTCCATGTACTTCATGTTCCATTCCAGCACCCTCCAACAGGTCACCAATTGAAACCTGTTAGGGCCTAAGAACCCTCCATTTCGGAGACCTGTTGGAGGGTCCAGGTTATTGTTCCCTTCTTCATGTTGCAGCTGCTCCAACTTGGGTGCCCCCCCCCCCCCCCACGCGTCCCTCGCTCCATTCTCGCTTCTGAACCGGTCCGGTCCGGTCAGGAGCACTTCCTGCCGCGCTTCTGCGACGTGCTGCGGCCGCCGCACGGCGTCGATTGCGCCACGGCCATCAACCACTACGTGGGCTGCTTCCCCTACATGGTCGCTCGCCCAGCGGAGAAAACACCCAGTCGGTGACGGCGGGGCCCGCGCCACCTGTGGGCGGCGGTTTTTTTCCTATCTTGTTTTGATCTTTTTTCTTTTTTAACGGTGGCGGTGGACGTTGGGTCGAGAAACGTCTTAAGACCACCTTAGGCCGAGAAACGTCATGAAGTTTCCTAGCTTCGTCCAATGCACGGCGGTCCGCATGTCTGCTTTTTTTTATTTTAATAAGGCGCCAATCTGGGAGGGCAGAAGGTTTCGACTGGTGAAGGATTCGACGGGGGATTTGGATCTGTAAAGATGGCGTGGGGACCTGGATTGACGAACATGAGCAGAATAGACTACTCAAGTCTGGTAGCGGGCTTTGGGTTTTGAACCTCCCCTTCATGGTGGACATTCAGACAGAGGTGAAGTCATCAAAAACATTTACGCCGCCTGTGCTGGTTTTTCTGATGACGTTTCATGGGAGAGCCTAAAACCTCCACGTTCAAGTTGGTCGTATTCTTATTTTACGACAGGTGGCGGAATCAGATTCTCCAATGGCCGACGCCATGATATGCCAGGGGATTGAGCGTCGCACTCCAAAAAGGGCAGGATGCCTTGGACTTTCCGACGTGGGACATCGTGAGATGTGTGTCTCTTTGTTGTAGAGGGTGGGTGTACCGCTCTGGATGTCGAGGACCGGAGGCTCCCAGGGGTCCCATGGCTCCCAGGGAGACTCGTGTTCCCAGGAACGAGACACGGGTTGAAAGGGCCTTGACTACCCATCATCCACTGAAACCCTAATAAGCACCCCCAAGTCGCCGCTGAGAGGCTCGGTGCACACGACACTCATCCTCTGAAATATGGGACAGTCCCTTTGGCCCATGGCCCCAGTCCAGTTCAACGATTTTGGGGCACCACCCAAGGGCCAAGGAACAATATCTGGAACTCGGGCCACCGAGTCAGACCATAAAAAGAAACCTGTGACTCCAAGTCACAGTCGACAGGGTGGTTATTAGATGTTAGCCCTTAGGTGAGTGGATGTTCTCAACCCCGACTTCCAATAGGCCCGTCTTGTGACGTCTTGAGACTGACCTCGGGAGAGACATGGAGAGGCGATCTCCACCCCGAAGGGCGCTACCGATCCGAAGATAGACCTCTGCAGAGGTGGGTGGGTTAAGTGACCTGAACTAGGACCCGTAACCAGGGGGTACCTACCAGCACCACCCAAGGGGTGGTTATTAGATGGAAAATACATCTTCAGGGGGGTCTATAAACCACCCTTTGGGTGGTGCTGGTATAGGATAGTCTAGTTCGGGTTCTTCCACCTCTGCTGGGAAAAAGGTGCTGGTGCGGATGCCGCGTTCGGCTGTGGGTCATGGCACCGGGTGGGTTTTTCCCACCCAACATGAACAGAAAGGACCAAGGAGGTCAAGCTATGCTGGTGCAAGGGGATAGGTGTTTTGACCCACAGCCATGTGAGTTGCAGGGAGTGTATACCCCTGTCGCACGACACTGGCTCGCGTGTCCCGAACGCCTCGGTGACGAAGACCGCGGGTCGAACCGTGGCGGTTGAACCGAGCCGTCTTTGGATCGTCGTCTTCTGCTCAGGAGAGCAAATCCGAGGACACGGTGACGAACTGAGTCGGGGAGGGAGTCGGGGAGGGGGTTGGCAGGAGAATAACGGGAATCTCTGGTGTTTGGGGGTGGGTTTTCGTGTTTTTATTGTTTTTTTCCACACAGTTTTTGGGAGGATGTGTCTTCCCCACCCCCAAAAACTGAGTGCAGAGTGAGTTGCTGAAGGTAAAGGTTGAGGGTTTGATGAAGAAGCTCTAAACCAGGACCTTCCAACAGGTGGTTTAGAAGGGGCACCTCTTCTAAGAGATCTAAGAGGCACCTCTTGGAGGGTCCTCGCATGGCTGGAGATGTGATGGGTCATGGCACCTCGACCTGACCGGGACAGGTCTTTTGGTGCCATAATGCCATGTGACAGCCATGTGACGGTCTGTACTACATAGATCTCTTCGGGGTTCAGAAGAAGTTTAATGATTGGAATCGAAGCAGCGGAAGCCGATGTGCACAAACCGCCTCGTGGAGGTTTACATTCTGAGCTCAAACTTCTTAACATCATTGAACTTCGTTGAACTCAAATAAACAGGACGCACCGTGAAAACAGGCCTTTCTCCCGGCTCCCCTCACCAATAGGGCTTAAAGTTTCGAAGGTGACCCTTGACGCAGTTCGGAGTGGAACCCGGGTCCCTGAAGGGTCCAGACCTCGTCTGGGACAGTCTGACCGCACCGGTCAGAGCGTCGCACGGTCCGTGTTGTTCGGTCCAACACGGTGCTGAAGAGCGAAGTGGACCACGGAGGAGTGGCGATTGGAAGGACATACACAGTCAGGGGGTGTCTATTTTTTTGACCACCCTCTAGTTAGTGGTGTGCTGGTAGGGATGTGTCCTATATAGACGGTCGATGGTCAAGTGTATTTGATATACGGATGTTACACTACAAAACTAGGTCAACCATTAAAAACATGGTCGAACGGAAAGCTCGGATGCTATAGGGTTAGAGGACGGGTGATGATTTTCACCCTTTCGTCACGGTCGTGCTTTCCGCCGCTCCGCCCGGGGAGATGTCCGCGTTCACGGCGGAGCGCCCAGCGAGGTCAGCACTCCGAACTTCTTCTGTGCGCTGCGCAAGGGCAAGGCACGGCTGTTGGCACAGCAGGGCGCTGTTGGTGCAGCTGCACTGGTGTGGTTGGGATCTCTGCAGCTGCACGCCAAAGGAAGAGTTCTTTTCTTGAAAGGCGGTGAAGACATCAACGGCTTCTTTGCCCAAGAAGTGGTTTCTTATGGTTTCTTGCGGGTCATGCAGCTCTTTGAACACGGCGGAAAAAGGCACTCATGAGATGGCTTATGTTCTGGATCTGACTCTACAGACCATATATGACCATATTATATATTATATAATATATACTTGAGTTATATACTGGTATACACATGAACGTTAGCCCCAGTCGACTGCTCCGTGTTTCACCGCTAGATTTTGGAGCATGCCTTGCTGCACTGCAGCCTCTTGCTTGGGCTTTCCTTCAAGGCGCGCGTGCGTAGTCCGACGGTGGCGCCCCTGGGTGGAGGCACTTGGGTGATGCCCCCCCGGCTGCGAGCCACCTTCCTGGGGCCATGTCTGGCGAGCCCATCAGAGCGGCATAAGGTACACTCCCGCCAACAGTGGACGTGGCAAGGAAAGGAGGACCATTTGTCCCTGCCAACAGGTGATAGCTCAGAAAGAACGCGTTCGTTTCACTCCGCCCTGGTACCGTCACGGATAACGGATGACGATGGGAACCTCTGGTAGCCTATGCCGCAGACTCGCACGGATGGCTTGCTTCTGAGAATCTGACGAAATGCTCATCAATGTTCTATGTGTGCAATAGGGGATGCCCTCCACGTAAGCATGATGATTTCAGGGAGTGTAGCTCTCCTCAACATGCTCCTCCGTTCCTTTCTGAGGTCCATCGCCTCCTCAAACGTTTCACTTGATTCATGCTCCTCCGCACGGGCTGGGGGCTCGTCGGGCTCGTCGTTTCAGCCCGGCCCCCCTCAAAAACGCAGAAAGGAGAGGGCCTTGGATGGAAGGCGGTTTTGACCGGGCAGGACGGTGACCGCAGTGCTACGGGTGTTGGATCACACAAAAAGGCACTGAGACTGCGAAGCATGAGGATGTTCAGGAACAGGAGACCCAGGGGACTGGAGCCGGCCCTTCATCTTTCGTCAGACTCGACTCGCCGTCGGACAACTATACCAGCCTTTTGGTGCCCATTGGGCTCCGCGCAGCCGACGTCGTTGGACGCTGGAATCGCGCTCGCGTTACGGACGTTGTTCGCGCCCAGGCCTACGTGTGCTGTGGGACGAACTTGAAGGGTGACGCTCACTCCTGGGCTCTTTGGTGGAAGAGTGGAGGAGTTCCAAAGGGGTGCTTGATGGAGGTGCCCGGGGTGCCCAGTATCCACTCACTTAAGAACTAAACATAACAAGAATGGTGCCCTAAAAGAATCCTTTGGGCAATCCATGGCAGGGGTCGGAGCCTCGCAGGGGTCCACAAAACCCGATGTACTGCAGAGGGCCCGGATTCTTGGGGTGCTTCGTATCAGTGAAGAGCCCCTGTCCGATTCCGATTGTCCCACTCGTTCCTCTCTCCATCTCTGCAATGCATTTCGGTTGTCTTCCTTTCCTTTGGCACTTCAACCAACTCATCAGTTTCGCCACTGACGAAAGCCCTCCACCCGTACTGGAAGACCCATATGAGGACAGGAATGACTGAACGAAGGGTTCGAAGCTCTGGGGCCCTGGCGCCCTTCGCTGGCTCAGCTCTTGGACTTCCAAGTCAGGGAGAGTCTACTTTCGAAGCCACTCAGGGCGGGGTTCCATGGATTACTGGAACATGGATGCGAATAGACCAGGGTTGGTATCCATGAGCTTGGGGAGAGAGAGGGAGTCGGAGGGGTCTTTATACAAGTCAAACCATCAAAGTCGACATTCGAGATGGTTTTTGAGAAGATCTTGGATTAGGTTTCATCCAGTTCATCCTTACGGTTGGGCAAACCCTCCAGAAGCCCAGCACGGTGCAGCATTTTGTTGCTCAGCACGTCAGCATTCTGAGGTGGCAGTCTTTGAAGAGGACCGGGTGGCTTTTGGGGGGGGGGGGCTCAAGTCTGGAGTATGGAGATTTGATGACATTTGGGTGTGTAATAGACCTCCCAAAGGTCCCCGGAAGAAGGGAAATAGACCAATGGGTGTTGGTGTCAGACCTCTCTATTAAACTACACCCCCATGCCCATGCGTATTTTGGAGTTGCTGAACTGATCGCCAGGATAAGGAAAACACATGCTTTCATCCTTTGGTCCCTATAGCTCTGCTTTCTTGAGAACACTCTTTTTTCGGGACGGACGAACGCTTCCTACCACACCCTGCACATCCCTTTGGTCCACACCCTGCACATCCCTTCGACTCTGCATGTGTGGACCCAACCCCCCCAAAAACCGATTCGAAAGCATCTGCCCAGACGCGACCCTGGACCCGAATCCTCTGGAGGGGTCGGACCCGAATCCTCTGGAGGGGTCTGGGGTCGAACCAATCCCTAGGTTTTGAGGGACCAGTCGAGCTGTGAACGCGTCTGGGTGGTTGGGATTCTCAGAAGATGCATCCGAAGAGAAAGCCTCGCCGTCCTCGACTTGAAACGGAGTCTCCGAAGTCGACTCGGGGTGTGTGTGTTTTGGGTGAAACTCACCATGAAACGGAGACGCTTTGGATCGAAACCACCACATGAAACCACACATGACATCACCACCCTTCCCCCCAACCCAAAACCGCAGCTGGGCCTCGTAGAGGAACCAGGGTCTCGTCTTGTTCATCTGGAAGCCAAGTACCTGAGGCCACCGGTCAACCAAACATGTCCCAGACACGACGATCCTTGGGACAGGACGCATGGAAAGACGCCGCGCAACCTGGAAAGATGAACTGATCGACGGGCATCTGAAAGACTGCCATCGATATATGAGATTTAGAATGAATGAGATTTAGATACCTCCAGCTGCATGCCAGATCCCAAAGAAGATGGAAGGACTGCAGCAATTTCTGATGTGAAGAATCATCCATGGATTCAAACATCTGATGTTTTGTTTGAGGGTAGAAGTCCACTCAAGCTCTTTAATCAAGATGCGTTCTTTCATCAAGATTCTTTCATTTCCGTGGGCATGTGCTGGAACCTCTCCGTTCCTACCAGATGTTGGGTGGAACAACCCACACCCAGCGCGCCCACAGCTCTCGCCAGCCCTCTCCAGGATGGCACGGTGCGCTTCTGGGAGCCCTTCTTGGGCACTGGCACGCTGCAGCTGCGGCGGCGCTTCGCACACCCGCAGTACCTGCTTCCGGGGCCCTCCAACAAGCCGCTGGTCCGCGGAGATGGCGCTGGTCCCCCCGAGAAACGGAACGGTTCACGGCAGTTCCGCGGTTCCAGGGGTGAAACTCACATGGGGATGGGGTCGTTTCAAAAACCTGGAGCCTTGGTCCATGATGGTCTCCATGAAACGTTGCAGGTAATTATAATAGGTGAAGCAGGATCTCCTGGCCCATCCCATTTGCAGGTCTTGTCCCTTTTTGTGTTTGTGGGGGCAATTACACGAGTGGCTTGGGAGAACTGCATGGAAGATCGGATTTCACGGGCTTGGTTGAGCGTTTGGTGGGCTAACCACGTCCCGACTGACCGCCCCGTCCACATTTCTCGTCGGGACCGCGCGTGCCGCCGCCCAGGCCGGCACGCAGCATGAAGGATGCGGATCTCCAGGCGGAGGAGCGGCGGAGGAGGCGTGGCCGGGAGCGTAGCGTGGGGCAGTGAAGCGTGGAGTGGTCGTAAAAGAATCCCCGAAAACTATCTCCCTAGGGCTCCAAGTACCTTCTGGGTTCAGAGGGTCCAAATACCTTCTAAGGAGGTACTTGGAGTCCTATTGTTTGATTCCGAGTCCTTGCCTTTAGAGACCTCGCCGAAAGATGGGATTTTGAGGCGTCTTGCTGCGCTGTGAAAGACACGCTCAATATCGAAACCCAGAAGCGAAAGTCGGCAAGCTGCTCCTACCGATTTTACAATTATACTTTGCCCCTAGAAGTCGAACCACCATTCTTTTAATAGCCTTTACCGAACAACCATTGTTTCACTAAGGGTTTTTCACTACAAAACCAGATCAACGATGTTAAATATGGTCTTTGACTTCCGGGGTTGCGCTTAGAGCTTAGGGCCTGTTGAGTACTGTCGACTTTTTACCGCTTCATGTGGCCGAAGCTCAGTGTTTGCAACCTGCTTGGCTGTACTGCATCCGTGCCCAAAAGCACCTGCGAACAGTTCTCCTTTAAGAACGGCTACTGTACCAACTTCACTTGTCCAACCATCATCGTCGTCGTCGTCGTCGTGGTGGTGGTCGTCGTCGTCAACCTACCAGGGGTTTCACAGAGCTTGGACCTGCCATCATCTGTCCGCCGATGTCGGTATCTCGCAAAGAGAGAATATTGCGCAGACGCAGAATTCGGAGCGAACAGAACGAACTCTAGAACAGCTTCTTACACGAAATTGGGTCAAAACCTACACCCTATACAAACCATGGTTTTGGTTGACCATCCCTGTTTGTATAATTTGAGGAATTGGTTCATTTGACCAGTCAGTCGAATCACTCTCATCCTCGCCCACCCTTCGGCTTCCCTGGCAGTTTTCGTGTTTTGGTGTTTGGGGGACAGCAGGACGACAGCATCACCCTCCCCCCCAAAACAAACATGGACGTGGACCCCCCGCCCCTTGGTAGAGGAAAGTGGACTTCCAACAAAAGAATATGGGAGAATGAATGAGACCAATATAGAAGTTATATGATGAGACGAATCAGCTCGTTTTTTTCACACCGCAAAAAGGACGAATCGGTGCTTCCACTCTTCACTAAGGCGCCCATGACTGCCCTTCCAAGAATGGAAAAGACCCTTTTGGAACAGCTTTCATTCATCCATCCCGAATCCATCCCGTCCATCATGACTTACCACGATTCTTGGTGTCCATCCTATCCGGTGTTGGCCTTGCTTTCGGCGCCTGCCCACGGCTGGGCACGGCCGGTTCAGGCGCCTGCTACGGCAGATGAAGGGCCGGAGGCTGGGGCGATTGGTCCTCAAGGGCGACCCTGCCGCAGGCGAGGATGGCGCGAGGTTGGGGTCTTTTTGGGAGCGACCGGTGGAGGACAGGAGAAGGATTCTTGATAGGGAAGTATGAGGAAGTAATTGTGAGAAGATTCTAGACCAAGCACATTTTTTTGTGCATCTCTGAGTGCTGGATTTGGAGTACCGTTCTAATTCCAGTGATTCTAGTGGTTGGGGTCATCCTAGCTCGGGGGGAACAGCCCGCGATCCTGAGCTCGGGAGCCAGGATCTGAGATTCCACCTGAGTCTGATGTAGAGATTTCGCTGTGCAGTGGGTGTTGATGTTTGGATGTAGGCACTGATTACCTAAATCTCAAGAGGTTGGACCCAAAGCCCATGTCCTTTGGCCCATTTTGAGCAATTCTTTGATGATGAACTATGCTCTCTTTTCTTGACCTGGCCACATGGGGTGTGCATGGAACGAAGTGTTCCAACTAGTCCGAGCGAGCGAGCTCCATGAACCACAAGACAGACAGACGGCCACCACGGCCACCACGGAACACCAACTCCCACGCGGCCGGACGTTTTGGAAGCCAATGGGCCCCGGGGTACGTCTCTTTCCCGCCGCGGCCCCCGGCTTTGGCCTTTCGCCTTTCGTCGCCAGCTGCTCCGCCAACACCAACCAAGAAGTCCATGTTCAGGCTGGGGCGGGTGAAACTGCGAGACGCTTTTCATTGTCCTTTGTCTCTTTCTTTTTCCCTTTTGTTTTGCTTTCCTTTTCCTTTTCCTTTTCTTTTCCTTTTGCCTTTGCTTTTGCTTTTCCTTTCCATGTTCCTTTTACTTTCCTTTTCATGGTCCTTTTCCTTGTCATTTTCCCTTTCCTCTCTCGTTCTTCCACCTACTCAGCAAAGGTGGATTCTTCTGGCATCTGCGGTTTTGATGGTCCAAGGATGTGTTCAGCTTTCAGCATACGTGAAATACCACTCAAGGAAAAACATCGGAGAACGACCGGACTGCCAGAGGTCCTGGAAAATCAAGCTTCGCCAGCTTCAACCAGGTGGAAGCCAAGTCTCTTTTATTTTGTTTTACCACCAGCACCCTCACTGGTTGTTGGGACCTGTTGGCGGTCTTAATTGGTGAGTAGCTTTCTACGGGTCGGACCCTTTTGAGGCCCGGATTCTTAGGGTAGGCCAAAAGGCACACCAGAAAAACCGAAGCACCCCGCGGCTCCAACATAGGTTTGCATTTTT